GACAAACGAGGCTATCAAAAACGATTACAATGTAAACAGTGCTGTTTGGAGACGAACAATACTTTGAGCGTTTTTAATACCTTACACCACTGTCCAACGTTTTAGGGAAGACCCCAGCTTAATTTAAGGGAGAGATTTGATTGCACGGGAAGAATAGACACACTCCCTCAAAAGCTCGCGTATCAGCTAGGAGAGATTTGATTGAACGAGAATAATAGACACACTCCCTCAAAAGCTCACGTATCAGCTAGAAGTAGAAGTCAATCCAGCAATGGGCAAAGAGAGGAATTTCACGGACAATTGCTTCAGGAATATGGGTGCTCCTTGACTGATTCTGCAATCAAGTCAGACAGCATTCTGAGAAGAAGTTTATACTTTGAAATGTCTCTTGTTTTGGCAATGCACAATCCCAGTCCGGAAAACCTGGGGTCATGACAGCTGTCAAGATTCAGGCGGGGTCATGAATTTTATTAATATAATATCTTATGTATCAAGTATAAAAATAATGTATAAGTAATGCTTTAAACAATATATAAATGATTAAGATACATCTAAACAGCATTATATCATTAAAGTATGTATATTTCTTAACAACCATCAATATTTTTGAGTTGAAAGTAAAGGCTATCTTAAAGCTGTTTAATCTGGCCCAAAACATAGCAGATTACATCCTGGAAGAGCACGCCAATGTCAGACTGACTTTGAGATATATTATTTTTTTAAAGGTCAATGGAGATTATGTCTCTACTTCCACCCCAGAGAAATATTTTAGACATGTTGTTAAATTTGTTTTGGGAACGCTTACATTCACAGTAGAGGAAATCAGCTTGAAAACCTAGGAAGAAAAATTGTTGCTTCCAGTGTGGTATGAAATTTCCTGATGGAGAAAGAAATGAATTATGTACTGTTCTGAACCTTGACGATTTTGCCAGGAAAGGGGATTTTCTTCCGTCAAGTACATGTATTAATTTTTTGGGTACAGGAAAAAAAGAAGTCAAGATCTAAACACTGTATACAGTATTATTTCAGGACAAGGCGAGACACTGACTTACGAGTATTTCGGGAGGTTTTGGTATATACTACACTTGATACTAGTCATGGATACGCGGATAAAGTTGTTGCAGGGAGGAATACAGGAAGTGTAACTACTGTATTGATAAAAGAAATGGGGTTTAACGTCCCACTGGGTTAATAAAGCCGGGCATACGCCATAAAGTGTGCTATGAGGGAAATTTAGCCCGGACAGCGTCACTATGGCTTACTCTTATAATGAATTCCAACTCTCCCGTCAAAAGGCAAAACCTAGTAACTCACATTTTTACCAAAATTGAGTTAGGACCAAATTTGTAGTTACTAGGGTATGTGCTTCCTGTTGTTGTACTACTTATTCCAATCTTTTGATTTTGTAAGCAGTTACACCCATGACACAACCTAGCAATTTCCTTCATTTGCCTAGTATACCACAGCAAAACCTAGTATCTCAATAGTCAAATCAATGGATAAGCTGGGGTTAAATATTCATTCATTACGTTTTCCCTTGTTTTCTCAAAATAAGAAAAAAGTGAGTTACTAGGTTTTGCCTTTTGACGGGAGAACTGTCATGGGATCTTTTACGTGCACGCCAATGATACATAGGACCTCGGTTTTTCGTCCCATCCGAAAGACTAGATGCCACGTTCCTGACTCATTCCCTCTCCCGAATGCTACGAAGTACTATACAGAGTACATGTATTCCTGTTGGAGAGTCCCATTACACTCGGAAAGACACTCACGGGAATTATCTTTATCAAACTTTTAAAATATCAAAAGTGTATCAGCGTTGTGTATATCAGTGTACCTTAGCTGGCCTGAGTGGTTCAACTCATTTAAATTTCAGATAACAATGTCCCCTAAGTATATGCGGAAGACAATCATGGTCGACATAGAGGGTGGATTATGCACTTCAAACGTTGACATCTGGAGGCGGGGAATGGCAAATCAGCTGTAAAAATATTCCAAATAACTAAACCAAAGGTTTCAAGAAATTAGTTTAAGGAACATGATGTTCGGTGTGACTATACCACTGGAGTTCGCCGATTGGCTTTGTCGGCAAAGGCTGACTTAGAGGTTTCCTCAATCGACAGAGTTTTCCATTCGTCAGCCAGAGTCGACAGCTGCAGCACGAACTTACGGATTTAACCTTTAATATATTTGAGCTCTTGATAACGCAGCACAATTTTCCACTTGATAAAATCACTATCCAAAGTTTTAGGGAAAGACCCCAGATTAAAAGAATGGCTGTCATGTTGCTGTACTTGGGATAGATTTGATTTAACGATAAGAATAGACACACTCCCTCAAAAGCTCAAATATCAGAAGCCAATTCAGCAATGGCCAGCGAGGGATTTCTCGGGCCATTGCTTCGGGAATATAGGTGCACGGTGGATGTGCAAGAATTACCGAGGATGCAACCTCTATTATCGTTATTAAAGTCAAGTCAAACACTTGTTACTCCTCCAGCCAGGTGTAGTCGGTATTGTTTTTGGTACCAGTAAAGCCAAGTGGATATCTGGTAAACGTTGGAGGGGGGGGGGCTGTACAGTTTTCGTTTTGTTCTTTTTAGTGAACAAGCAGTTATATCGTGTAAAACGACAAACCGCTTGTATTTTGGCCAGTGCCCAGAGAGATTCTCGTTCGTTCCCATGCTACGTGCTCTGATATTAACTACCTAACCGTCTTAAAGACCCGACTTGCGACTCAACTTGAAATATTTATCTCGACTCGGACTCGGCAGTCGTGATAACTTGAAAGAGCTAAGGAGCATTTAGCCCAATAGGGAGGGTCGCTCTCCTCAATCGTTTGTACAAAATGGACTACCTAACCTAGAGGGGTGTCGTGGGACTCCTGTCCGACTTAAGAAGCATCAAAGACCCGACATGCGACTGACTTGAAATATTTATCGTGACTCGACTCAGACCCAGTAGTCGTGACAACTCGCAGCTTGAAAGAGCTAATGCTTGGTTCCCCACTGTCGTGCAATGCGTTATGTAGTAAATCGACGATGTGAAGATGCGTTCGGATACGTTTCGATACGATCAACACGATTACTACCACGATTTCAATCGTAGCACGAATCGTGATAGTGGGAACCTAACATAAGAACTGAGTCGCGGTTGGGGATATAAATTGCTGACTCGTTTGATGAACTGGCGACTTGAACGGGATTGAGTCGCGGTGGAGGTGGGGGGTATAAATTGCTGAACTGGCGACTTGGACGGGACTTGGGCTTGTGAAGACTTAGGACTCTACTCGGTCCTAAAGTCGGCGACTTGTTCCCACCTCAGCTATGGGAGATTAGGTAAAGGGCTGGCAGTTCTCAATTTAATAGTTAAAAACTAGATAATGTAAAGGATATTTGCTGAAAATTTCAGTCAAATTGATCCACTCTGAACCGAGAATTAAGCGATTCAAATTTCAGCCAAGCCTCGATCATTACTAAAGTCGGTACGAGAAAAAACATAGTCTCGATTATCCAATTTTTGATTTAATCAGAAGTAGCAGACCTGGTTCTAATCCAGTAAATATCGCAGGATAGCGATGCCATCGAGAGTTGATTATGGTCTGATTTTTTCTTAGACCAACATACTCACAACAGAATAAAAGTGAAAAACAACAATTTTGTTTTTTCAAACATGACAAGTTGACAATTTTTTTTTTATATACTATAGTTTTGCGAGGGTAGCGTGACGTATGCAAATTAGTTGCACGGATTCTCGCAAATACATTATTAGGTACTGTTAGATTACTCCATTAATTCACTTAGTCGCCGATCCATAATTTTGAGACCGACTGCACTTTTTTTGCAACGTACTATTTTACACTAGGTGCCCCCACACGAGTGAGTACCTTGAGGTCATGCAAACTTTCACAGTGTTGGCAGCAATCTGTTTCACAGGGGATTACGAAAGTCTTCTAATAACTCTGTAAAAGATGACTGCTTTCAACACGTGACGTCACATCGGCGGCATCAATCATTGGCTCAATTGCGCGTGCAATGTTTACATAAGACGTTACTGGTCCGGGTAGAATGGTGTCTTTTACTCCTTTTACACACCCATTTACACTAAATAGGACATAGTTTTACTTGCATAATATTATACTTCACAAACCTTTATTTATTTTTCTAATGCTTAAAAAAAATGTTCTAGAATTTAATTTGCAGAAGGAAAAAAAGTTAATATTGGAGGCTCATTAGCCGCACGGATGTCATTCCTATCAGTGACGTAGCAGCCCAATCTGTTTCACAGAGAATTACAAGTCTCGTATAATACCTCTGTCATAGATGACTGCCTTAACACGTGCTGTCACAGCACGCGGTGTGAATCATTGGCTGAATGACGCGTGCATTGTTTACATAAGACATAACTGCTTCGGAGATAATGCTGCATTTTAGTCATTTTAATACCCATTTACACTAAATAGGAAATAATATTTACCTACAAATACGTCAAACGCTTAATGCAGATTCTACTGTATACAAAAAATGTTTTAGAATTTAATTTGTCGCAGGAAAAAAGTTAATATTTCTAGCTCATTAAGCCGCATCAACGTCATCCTTATCAGTGATTGTCGCGGCCAAGCAAATATTCACTGCGGATCAGTGTGCATACAAGCGCACCCGAAGGCTGCCCTAGCGAATATTCACTGCTGATCAGTGTGTGTTTCAGTATGAAACAAGTTGAGAAATGTCGTACTGTCGATTAATGGGAGAGAACTCCAAGTTAGGATTGATTTCTCTTTTTCTAATTTATTTATAGCGTAAACCAAAAAACAAAACAAAAATCACACACCTTTTTTCTCGTTGCGCAGCTTCTATACCTCAAGAAATGTGTTATACAGTAGCTCAAAAAATCGGCATAATTATATGATAATAATCGTTTTATTCGTTTCTAGTTAAATCTCCCGCTCCAAATTTTGAAAGGGGGCAATCTCGCGAGAAAATGCGTTACCGTGGATACGCCGAGAAGAAGCTATCATGGCGGCCGATTGACGGCAAAATAAAATATTAAAAATTGAAAGCGGAATAGTCCCGAATTCAGGAATATCAGCGTATTTATTCTGAATTTGTTCAACAGAAGAATTCTAAATGATTATTTTCTAAAGACTAATTGGCGTCTTTTAGTGTTAATCGGAGGAAATTCCATAAATTTTGAAGTAAACAAGCTTGATTTTGATGGAATGAAAACGACTGAATGAATGATCATCAATTCACAATGATTCTATAGTGATTATCAATGATTAGTGAGTTTATCGACAACAGACAGAATTTTATTTTGGTATACAGAAGGAAATAAAGGATTGTAAAAATGGCAGATACGACAACAGCAATGCGAGTTATACCAAGTGGAAAGATTTACCGGCAGATGTTTGATGCACAGGTCAATAATTACTTTTGAATTTTGAAAAATAAAGGAAGTGGATAAACGACCTGATTCGGTTCCTTACGAAAATTTACTACAAACCCGGATATCGTCTCTGGCCAATTTCATCACGTGGTTATTTTATCGCGATAGGTTCGGTTCCCAACATTTCTCCACTATGGGTTAGGCTAACCCTAACCCTAACTCAAGGAACGTTAATTTCTCGCTTTCTTGCATTTTCTAATGTCCGCGTATCTCTTCGCCAATATTTCACTTTATTCTTAAATTCGAATTGTTTCATCGCCTCTAAAAGTGAATTTAGAGTCGTAAATTCAGCACCAACAAGGATGCCTGTAGAGGCCGCCATATTGCAAAAGACCGCTAATAACCATGTGATAAAATTTGCCAATCAGAGACGATATCCGGTTTCGTAGTAAATTTTCGTCAGGAACCGAATCCGGTCGTTTATCCACTTCCAAAAATAAAATAGCTCAAGGAATAAGTTTTATTCTGCCCGTTTACCTATTATGAATGTGTGTGTAGACATTTGATATAGATGGTGCAGAGTAATAATTTTGATACAAAAATATTTTCGATATTACCGGTATATCATTCATAATCATAAACCAGTTAACTCGTCCATACACAAAGTCTAAGTTGTTCACAAAATATGTTGGTTGAGTTGTTCACACAGCATTGGTTGACTCATCTACACGGCATTGCTTATGTTATGGATATGGATAGCATGGGCGTGGACTTAGGGGGAGACGGGGGGGGGGGGGGGGTACAAAAGGCCTACATGGTCCTGTTAATCTTCCCTTTCTTCATATAGCACTTGTCATTTGTAATAATTAACATGTGTGTATGAGTCAACTATTAGTTCTTGTTGACATAACCAATACCCCATGGAAGAGTCAACCAATGCTTTTGGACGAATTACATGTAACTGTGGACGAGTTAACAAACTTTCATCTTAAAGCCTGAAGTATGTCACACACACAAGTAAACTTTAAAATGTAAAACAATTTTATTGAAATACATGTATGTAGATCTATTTTATCTTTGTTCTTTAGGTTCAACTGAATAAGAGTTTAACACAGATATCCAAGAGATCAAAATCCCCATCACAAACAATTTTATCATCCTCTAATGGTATCCCACTTGTTCGTCTCAGTACTGACGAAACACACCATGGTGTCTTAACGGAAAGACAGAAAACTTGGGTGAATGGATTTCCAAATGAACAGAACATAGAAAACCCTGTTTTATACAAGTGAGTGCAGCGCTGTTTAACCCTTTCACTGCGTATACCCGGTAGTACCGGGTATTATAAAATGTCGGTAAAATGCCCGTACCCGGTATTACCGTGTACTCAGTAAAGCCCTCGCTAAAATTAGTACCGTAACTGCAAGTGCCATCTATTGTATTTTCTATACACTAGAACATATTTCCACGTGTTTCAAAGCAGCAAACCGTAAAATGTCGGAGTGCATTGTGACAACGTAGACGATGCACTCTCGACGAAGTCGTGAATGACGTCTTGCTGACCAACATGTGGACAATTTCAAGGCGGGTGATACACATAATTCGTTTCCAGTTACTTGATAATGATAGTAGTCAGGACAGTGATTGGTATTATGAAGTGTGTGATTTGTTGCGCGACGTTCCGCCCATGGCTAGCTATGTCTCCCGTGCATGATGAACAAGCCCAATGTGAACACGATAGCCCTGTGTCTGCAGTAGATTCTGACAATAATTCTGATGTTGATAATAATGCTGGCCGGCTGGATCGTAAAATACGTAGGTAATTCCTGATTCCCGAACGTGTAGATCTATTGACTGACTATATTGATAATGATATGGGACTTGGGGATGAAAGTGAAAGTGAAAGTAAAAACAAGGTATTGCAATCCGCACGTGGTCATGGCAGCGGGAGATGTGATGCGCGTGTTCGCGGCGGCATTGCTCATGGCTGCTATTGATATTTTTGTTCATTTTATATATCTTTATCAAAATCCAGTAAAAAAAACAATATCTTTTAAGTATTTCATGAAGAAAAATTCGTTTTCGTGTTAGCTTTAGTGTGAAATGAGAAATCCAAAATGGCCGCCATGACGTCACGTGACTACATTATTATGCAAATTTCCAAAATTCTATTTTTTCCTCTTAGCCCAACCTCATGCCCATCCCAACAGACAAAAAGATTTTTCATAAAAGCTTCCATAAGTACTGCTTGGCATTCAGTTCCAACCTCCCTTTTTTCCTCAAAAAAGGGTCTAGCACAGGCAGTGGATTTACGTCTAGCATTGAAAGGGTTAATACTTATTTCAAAATTTACCCTTAAAAAATGGGGGGGGAGGGGCATGTTGTTGGATGACTGAGTTGCTTAATATCTGTCATTGATTCCAGTGGCGTAGTTTTGACTCCCCTTTTGAAGGTGACAAGGAGTAGGGTTGCTTGTCCAACCTTGTGGATTTTCTCTAGGTCCTGCAGTTTCCCCCCAAGGCTAAAGAGTAAAGACCCCTACATGCAATTGAATTATTGAGATAAATTTAAACCATATGTTAGTTCCAAAATTATATGCCTACTAAAAATGGATTTGTTTTCATTTATGTTCTCCATTGTAGTAGCCTATATCTGTGATCAGTACTGTGTACACCACATGATTAGACTATAGTTTGTTTCTTATAATCATATCTTGAAAATTCAGAAGCCTATATCAGTGATCAGTACTGTATACACATTTTTAGACTATAGTTTGTTTCTTATAATCATTTGATTTAATGGGATTATCTTGAAAATTTAACAAATAGATTCCAGTAGGGTAACATAGAATAGAAAAATCACAGTTGAAATTAATTGGCATTGTACAAACACAACATATTGTGTTTAATTAATCTTTTATACTTAAAAGGAGAAAATATGAAATTAAAGATACATTATGGGAGATCACAGTGTAGATCAGAGCTGGTAGTTCTCACTATAATAGTTAAAAACTAGATAATATAAAGGGAATTTGCTGAAAATTTCAGTCAAATTGATCCACTATAAACCAAAATATTAGCGATTGAATTTTTTGCCTAGCCTCGATCATCATTACTAAAGTCGGTAGGATAAAAAACGTCTTGATTATCCATTTCATAATTAAATTATGAATGGAAGTCAAACAGCAAATTGGAACCTAATCCAATAAACATCGCAGGCTAGAGATGGCATTGCGAGTTGATTATGTTCTGAATAAGTTAATTAATGTCTAATTAATAATTTAGATAACATTTCAGGCCTAAAAAAAGACCTGCAATAGCCAGATTTAGCTCTTGTATAATGTATGTTTAAACTTGGGCATAAGACACTGATTAAATGTTGTCAGATAATTGATGATAATTATTATTGTATATAAAAAATTGTTTTTCCTTCTTTCCTCTTGAACTTATGTCTGATGGGATTTATGTGTTTTAAATTTATTTGATTAATTAAATTTTTTTTTCTTCACAGACAATATGCAGAGTTTATTAGTTCTAAATTAAAAGAAACTGATGCATTGAAATATGACAAAGAAGTTGAAGGCTTGCCTGATGTTGTGGGTAAGTTTAGGGACAATTTGACTCCAGCCTTGTCTAACTTGCTACAGTTAATGTTTGCTCAGCAAATCTAGTAAAGACAAGTAAAACGAAATTTTTAACTATAAAAAACGAAACGAAATAGGATCTGTGTTTTAATCAGATTGGCAATATGTAGATTATAGTTCTATTAAGCAAATATTTTAATTCCTGTATATTTGTTTCAGTACCAGGTAAAGTTGGCAGTAATATTATTGACCGTATAGCTTCCAGTCGAAAAGAAAGGTCAGTATCATTACTTCACTGATTTTCTTTTTTCACATTGAGATATATACACAGGTCCCAATTCTATGGAATACAATTATAGTTTATTACTATAAGAACATTTGGCTTGGCTTCTATGGATTGGATTTATCAAGCAATGATAAAATATAAAGTTGTTGTTTATTACAGATTTAACGTCCAATACATAATATGGACAGGTTGTTTAATTAAGTTATTTACATATGAAGGAGTAATATATAGAAAATGGGTAAAAACACTACAAATAAAAGTTCTTGTATATCAAAAAGTCACTTTGAAATACAGTTTTAAAATCGCTGTTGTGAGGGTGGGTCATCTTCTCACTTTGTCATAATGAAAACAAGTTAAAACAGGAGGTCCAGCTGTTTGATCATTATATACAAATCTTAATTGAAGTTTCCTTCAAATTAATTTGTGGCATGTCTCTGATTGGTCAACTACATGTATATGGTAAATCGTCATAAACTTTATGATGCGCGGGAAAATATTATCCTCCCTCTTAGCTACTGTACATTTTGCCGCATTCAAAATTACTACTGTTCTGCTCCGACTGAGCTAATAAAGATGGGCATTCGGCTTACTGTGTGCTATGAGGGAAATTTTGCCGGGCAGCGGCACTATGGCCTACTCTTATATCGAATTCTAAAACTGCCATGGGATCGTATACACAGGACCTTGGTTTTCCGTCTCATCTGAATGACTAGACAGCTGTCCTTGTCAGGCCCTCCGTCCTGCATCACTGACAAGGTGAAACCACGTTGGAAAATCCTGATGAACTTATTTGGCCAATGTAGGGATCCCATGGCATTGTTACTTCTACCCAGGGTAATAAAGGGATAAATATGATTATAATGTTGAAGGCAGTAAAAAACATTCTATGTATATAATAAAGGTTCAAGTATACTAACGTTATAAATAATTTTAGATAATTTTATCTTTTAGACATGAAGCTACTGTGGAAGACATGCAACAAGAACTTAATGTCATCAGTTCTGTAAGTTACACATTTGCAGATTAAATTTTATCAGTGTTTTTCCCTACATTGGCCGAGAAAGTTCATCAGGATTTTCCGACGTGGTTTCCCCCTTGTCAGTGGTGCAGGATGGAGCACCTGACAAGGACAGCTGTCTAGTCATTCGAATGAGACAAAAAACCGAGGTCTCGTGTATACATTGGCGTGCACATAAAAGATCCCATGGCAGTTTTGGAATTCAATATAAAAGTAGGCCATAGTGTCGCTGCCGAGGCAAAATTTTCCGTATAGCACACTGTATGGCATATGCTCGTCTTCATTAGCCCAGTCGGAGCAGAACGGTAGGACATTAAACCCCAATTCATTTCATTTCTTATCAGTGTTTTTAATGATATTTATAAAAAATGTCTGGTTCAAAATTCAAAATGTAACCTAGGTATCATTTAATCTTGTGTATCTAGCACTAATTTCTTTCACATTCGTTTAATATCCAATCTTTGTTTAAAAATTCGTAAAAACTGTTTAAAGTAGCTAAGTCTCTAACTCAATATCATCTTACCGGAAAAAGATGGGCTTTTGATATCCAATATTTAAGAGACTCGAGGGACGAGGCTAGACACATTGCACCAAATCAAACGGCATATGTAGACTGGAATAACCAGACGCTAGAAATTTGCACTCGCTTGAGACTGCTGGCTTATTTCGCCAAACATAACTGATTTTGAAATTGGAGTAAAAACGGACACCATTGAATGTAAATCAGTTTATATTACAGTATTATATGCGTTGCGACCCATTTTTGTCAATTTCTAGGTCCCAAATGTTAGCGATTTAGCTCCTTTAAAATCACCATAAATTGTTTAATTTGTACTTCTGTCCTGTTTAAAGCTGACCATTCAATTTTGATAATGAGTGTCCAATTTACAAGTGTTTAATTTCTTGATCACTGTTAAAAAAATAAACAACCCTATTGATTATTGATATATAATGATTACTTTTTGAACAGTCGTCAGGAAATTAAACACTTGTAAATTGTGCACTCATTATCAAAATTAATCAGTCAGCTTTAAACTGGACACAAGTACAAATTAGATGATTTTTGGTGATTTTAAACAATTTTTACTAGATTTTAAACAAAGTTTTGATATTAAACGAGTGTGAAAGAAATTAGTGCTAAATACACAAGATTAAATGATACTCAGGTTACAGTGTCAGGACATGTATACAGTCAGTTCTCATTTGTTTTATAGAATTTTGAACCAAGAATAGCAGATACAAGTGAGATGATATTGAATAAGTTAAACAAAAATGATGAAGAATTAGAAAATATACTGGCTAGAATACAAAAAGATGAGGTAAATAATTACTTTATTACATGATCATGGTGGTCGAACAGTAGGAAACTGATCAAATCTATTAGAATATCCCCGGTTCAAATCCCCACCACAAGCTATGAAGAACCTTGGTGAGGTTGCAGTCATGAATGGCTGAATGACGTATTCCTGTATGCATAAAAATTGTTTTCACTGGTTACATGGAACAGTCTGATTACCCTATTTATCGGGGTATAAGTCGATACTTTTTTCTGCTGACGTCCGGCCTTCGTCTTATACTCCGCTTAGGCTTACATACGGATGAAACAAAACTACTTATTACACTTTTCCAATATCGAAATATGTGTAGACGTTCCTTAACTTATGTATTTTCTTTATTTAAAAACATACCCCCCCCCCCCCCACTTCAAAATATTATCAGCCCGAGATTATGCTATCTCAATAGAATCTTTTCTCTGAATGTTCGTCAAAATTGGCACGTTTCCGTTTCTCATAATTTCACGCATCTTGCGAGATTTGTACTTTTATTTTTCAGTTAAATTCACCAATCATACTATACTGCGTTGTTTTGCCATCCATTCTGCCATCCAACCCCCCTTATCTGTCCAAGATAGTATTGATTAAACTCATATTTGATTGTTTTAAAGGATCTCTCTCTCTCTCTCTCTCTCTCTCTATTGAGTAAACTTATATTTGATTGTTTTAAAGGATTTGATTGAGCACAGACTAGAAGATTTAAATTGTTTGTGGCAGAAAGTTCAGTCGTTCACTCCATCTAGACAAGGTTGGATTATTGAGTTAGATTTTATGTTAAAGACAATAGAAGATGAACGCGCAGAACTGGTAAGATTTGATTTATATTACACCATTATATTTGTTATTATATTATTTCGTCAAGCCATCTGAAATATTTTATTCTGAGACAAGTTATCGGTGTTTGTAGTTTTGACAAGATGTGTGCATAGTGGTAACCAGGATACTGGTATATTTGAGACTTAGCCTCGCTTTCTCATTTTTAAATTAAATTTTTAAATCGCAAACCATTCTAATCTAGTTAAAATCTCGAGTATCCGATGCCATTGAGAGTTTATTATGGTCTTGTTTTGTTAATAAATGTCTAATTAATAGTTTATATAACATTTCAGGCCTAAAGAAATACCTGCAATAGGCAGATTTAGCTCTTTCGTAATGTATGTTTAATAAACAAGTACATAAAAAGAAAGCGATTATAGACACATTCAACATTACAATCTGTTCATGATGTTTGTAAACTTGCAGACAGGCCTGGAAATAACGGTTTTAGATGTACCTGACAAAATGTCAGGCACTTATCAAATAGTACCTGACATTTTCAACTTAATGCCGGACATGTATTAATATCAATAAAAAAGACAAATCAGTGCCGGACAAAATGACAGGCAATAAAGGTTATGTGTCTGACAAAGCCTAAATCTGTGCCTGACACTGTCTGTGACAGGTGCTGCCTTATTTCCAGGCTTACTTGCAGAATAAGATGGTTGACATAGGTTCTCCCTATCTGAAATATTCAATGCTGATATATTTGATATATTTTCTGAGTTAATCCTTCAGGAATAGCGGGGGGGTTGGATGGCTGAATGGTTAGCACGTGCGCGCTGTATCATAAAGTCTGTCATTGAGTCAACTGGCATGGTTTCGATTCCCTGGTTGTACGTGACAAGGAGTAGGGTCGCCTGTCCAACCTCATGGGGTTTCTCCAGGTCCTCCGGTTTCCTCCCACTGCTAAAGACTCTTACGCGCAATCAAATTATGGAAATAAAATTGAACCATGTGTTAGTCTCAAAATGACCAAGTTTGTGTCGAGTGGATGTTAAACCCCAGTTCTCTCTCTCTCTCTCTCTCTCTCTCTCCCCTTCAGGAATATTGTCTCCAGAAGTTATCCTTAGAATCTTATTTCTGTTTCGATTCAGCCACTCACCAGGGCTGTGATATTCCTTATTAACAACATGCGATTCCCATAGTTGTGAGTTGCTCCCACAAAACCAGGCGGCTGTTTCACGAAATTTTAACCAAGATAAAAATCAAAATTTTAGTAATTTGATTGGATAATATTAGAATGATTTTAGTGCTTAGGCGATCAAAATTGAAGTATCTACTAAAATTTGGATTTTATCTTTGGAGAAATAGGGCCCAGACTCTTGGTCATTGTTATAAAAATAGAGCCGGCATCATATTTGAATAGTCCACAGCCTAAGCTTTCCAAAAATGCAATTCTTTTTAAATTTGTTGTATCATCTGGAGTTGAGTTCAGCTCATTCACAGCAACAAGAAGGCATACAGTTTATGCTTTTGTGCCCGTAGTGCAAAATGAAGTTGTGCAACAAGCACCTAGTTTTGTGGGAGCGGGCGAGCGGGGTAACAGTTTTACTGCTGAAATATTTATAGATTTATCAATAACAAGTTAATACGTTCTTCATTTTTTGTTTTTTTTATTAGATTCGCTCAGTATTTGAAATGTATAGTGAGAAGCTTGAAAACTTATCACATTTATTGGCGCCAGATTTACAGAAATTCTTAGATAAGGAAGCACAGGTATAAACTATGTATAATCTGTTTCATATTTATTTCCACCAAAAAGAAGAACATAGTCAATGAGATGGTTAGTGAGCCAGTACCTGAGTAACTGAGCCACTACCAAAACATTGTATGGATGATACAGTCGACTCTGGGTATATTTTTCATTGCCCGTCAACCTGTCTTTAAAAAGTTTGTAATGAAACATGGGGGGGGGGTGGTTTCGGTTCCCCAGTTGTACAAGACAAGGAGTAGGGTCGCCTGCCCAGCCTCTTGAGTTTTCTCCAGATCCTCTGGTTTCCTCCCACTGCTAAAGATCTCTCTCTCTCTCTCTCTCTCTCTCTCTCTCTCTCTCTCTCTCTCATAATAAAACATAATAAACAGACAGCTCTATGGATAACATACACTGAGTTTATTAATTGCAACCTTTCAATGAGGATACTCTCACCGTTATCAAGCAATGATACAATAAAAAATGTTACAGAACATGCTATTTATATTTTCTTACAGAACAGTTTTAGTTTTGTAGTGGGGTATTTATATAAACTTTTAAAACCATCTTGAGTTATCATTTCTTCTTACCCTATCCCGAATTCTTAAAGCTGCGACAGTTTTATGTTATAAAAGTCATATATTGAATTTGCTTTTCATTTCATGCTCTGTATTTTGGTATACACTGTTTGAAAATGGATGGTTAATATTGTAGCATTTGCAAGAGTACATTTGATGTTTAATTTCAATAATTTAAAATTGTAATATTCCTAATACGATGAAAATGTTTTCCAGCTCGTGAATCAAACAATATTAAGTAATCGTAGAGCGTATGCAGATTTATTTGTACGCTTGATGTCAGCTGATATTGAAAGGGAGAAAACTCTATATGCAGCTTGGAAACGTCGAAAACAGGACTGGTGTAATCTGAAAAATAAAAAATTTGTCAATGAATTCAAGTAAGTGTAGTTATAGACTAAGCAGATTTCTCAGACTTTCAAAGAATAAAAATCATAACAGTCAGTCCGAACTAGTTGTTTAAAAATCTTGAGTTGAAAAAGGTTTGGATTTGAAGCCTTGATTGAGAAACTTTCAAATGGTTTAGTAGATTGAAAAGTAAAAGTATTAAATTCTATGGTTCCTGGATTCTTCATTCAAGCGGTTTCACAATCATGCATTTTTCGGACAATTTTTCACACCTTAGTCCACACTAGAAATTACCCAAATTGATTATTTAACATAGTAGTCCTTCTGCATATACAACTATCATTTTGGAAGGATCAGCATTTATTTCAAACTCGGCCCACTGGTAAACGTTGGTATATCACTAATCTGATTAAAACACAAATCCTTTTTCGTTTCGTTTTTTATAGTTCAAAATTTCGTTTTACTCGTCTTTACTACACTAGAATCTGGAAGAGTTGTTATATAACCCACATTCTAGTTGATGTGAGGGATTAGCCAATGGAATGGTCTATTACGGCGAGCTTTAGGCCTGTTTTGCACGGAAGTGTGGGTAATCCTTTAGAAACATCAATGCTGATTGGTTAATCAAATGTCTGACGTCATAGTTTCAAAAGCCACTCGTATGACCCCTGTCGCGACCTCCCACTTCAACTGTTCAGATCTTCATGTAGTGTAGGCCATCGAAAGTATAAAAAAATGAAACGAAATATAGATCTGTACTTTAATCAGATTGGTGTATCACATTCACTTTAATCTCTCTACCATAAGAATTCAATCTGATTAAAATACAGATCTATATTTCGTTTCATTTTTTGTCCCCCGCCTTTCGAAGAAAGCAGGGAACTATTAAAATGGGTTCGTCCGTCTGTCTGTTTGTCTGTCTGTCCGTTCCGCTTATTTGTGATAAATTTATATGTGTCCTCTAATTATTTTCCTATTTCGGCGGGGGACATCAGCCTCACTGTTGGCTTGTTTATACTTTCGATGGCCTACACTACATGAAGATCTGACAAGTTATAGCGATAGGTCGCATCAGAGGTCATACGAGCGGCTTTTGTCCTTACAACGTCAAACATTTGATTAACCAATCAGCATTGATTCAATGGCCAGATAATGAATGGAGCACTACTGTTGCTTTGTAAACAATTAATTTTTTGATTTTTTTCTTGTAATTGTAGAGAGTATATGAAGAGTGAGGAGGTTAGACACCCCAAGGGTGTGGATCGAGTGTTAAAAGAAATGATCGCAGCTCAATGTGTGTTAAACGAGAAACGTTACGATCTTATCATGTCCTTGGCGTAAGTAACTTTTATAACTCAGAGGGGGGTTTGATGGCCGAATGGTTAGTGTGTGCACGTTGTATCATAAGGTCTGTCATTAAGTCAACTGCTGTGGTTCTGATTCCCCAGTTGCAAGCGAAATATTGGAATAAAATTGTACCATACCTTAGTCTCAAAATGAGCTAGTTTGTGTCGAATGGACGTTAAACTCTCTCTCTCTCTCTCTCTCTCTCTCTCTATCTCGCTCGCTCTCTCTCTATAACTCAGAAATTAAATGGGGTTTATCATCCTACTGTTCAGCTCCGACTTGGCTAATGAAGATGGACATATGCCATACAGTGTGCTATGAGTGAAATTTTGCCCGGGCAGCAGCACTGTGGTCTTCTGTTGTATCGAATTCCAACTGCCAATGGATCTTATACATGCTATGTGCTCGCCAATGTGTACAGTGTACACGGGACCTTTTTTTTGTCCCATTCGAACAACTAGACAGATGTCCTTGTCAGGCCCTCCGTCCGGCATCACTAATAAGGGGAAACCATGTTGGAAAGTCCCGATGAACTTTCTCGGCCAGTGCAGGGATCGAACACGCAACCTCCAGACTAGCGAGCCAGCGTCTTTCCCAAACCTTTCAATCAGGTAAACTGTGTTTGCATCTACAAATACAGGTGAGCCCTACTGATATTTTTTCTTTCATGGTGGAAGAAACCCATAAATATATCCATACAGGTTTCGCAATATAATGCGATATGATTTTCAGACACAATACACAGTCCTATTAAGATTTATTTCTTGACTTTAGCAGAAATACCACCCTAACCCTTGTCCTGACTTCTATTTAGTTTTGTTTGTGTCTATGTATTTAATAACTAATGTTGTGTGTTTTTTTAGTGAAATGAAACCTCCTAAGTCAACTAAAACAGCTGTATATAAATGGAATCAAACAGTTCAGTCTATATCACAAGAAATAGGTAATTAACATCTACCTATACTAACATCGATTGTCTGTCTGTCTGTCTGTCCAGGGTTGGTGGCTACATTATGGCTGTCCTGAAACTAAGATTTGGTGTATAGGGCTGTATAGGGGTAGATCGAACCGGGGAGTAACATAGGCTAGGTGTCGAGTGGACGTTAAGCTCCATCTCTCTCTCTCTCTTTTAAACACCAATCTTCATTTGAATTATTTTCAATCCCTTTGCAAACCATAATATGAAATATATCAGTCAAAAAATGATTAAACATAGATTATGCAAGAGCTAAATCTGCCTATTGGAGGTCTTTCTTTAGGCGTGAAATGTTATCTAAATTATTAATTAGACATTAATTAACTTATCCAGACCATAATCAACTCTCAATATCATCGCTAGTCTGCAATATTTACTGGATTATAATCCGATCTGCTGCTCAACGCTCATTCATGATTGAAGTCAACTGGCGTGGTTTCAAATCCCTGGTTGTACGTGACAAGAAGTAGGGTTGCTTGTCCAATCTCGTGGGTTTTCTCCGGATCCTCCAGTTTCCTCCCACTGCTAAAGACCCCTACGTGCAAATCCCTGGTTGTACGTGACAAGAAGTAGGGTTGCTTGTCCAACCTCGTGGGTTTTCTCCGGATCCTCCGGTTTCCTCCCACTGCTAAAGACCCCTACGCTCAAGCGAATTATAGAAATAAAAAATTGAACCATATGTTAGTCCCGAAATGACCTAGTTTGTGTTGAGTGGACGGTAAACCCCATTTCTCTCTCTCTCCCTTTAAATGTTGAATTATGATTTTGAGTGGATTTCACTTCAGATTAAGATGTGAAAAATAAGATATAGTCCAATAAAACAAAAGAGTTATATTTATAAAGCTGTTTATTTATTTTATAGAGAATATAAATCAGATGTATTTAAGTAAATTACATGAAGAATATGAAAAGGTCTGTCATGGTTGTATTGACAAGATGAACTCAATCAAGGTATAACATAAAATTATTAGTTTTATTTGTGGGGTTGGATGGCCGAATGGTTAGCATGTGCACGCTGTATCAAAGGCCTGTCATTGAGTCAACTGATGTGGTTTCAAATCCCCGGTTGTACGTGACAAGCAGTACGGTCGCTTGTCCAACTTCGTAGGTTTTCTCCTGGTCCTCTGGTTTCCTCCTACTGCTAAAGAAATCTACGCGCAAGCAAATTTTTTAAATAAAATTTTAAAAAAACATGGTAGTCCCGAAATGACCTAGCTTGTGTCGAGTGGACGTTAAACCCCATTTCTCTCTCTCTATTAATTTTATTTAAAAATGGTGATGGGTATCATGTACAAGGCAGGATATGTGCTTGCTCTTACTAGAACACTTGCTCTTTCTATTGTATTTTTCTGTCTTTATTAGCCCAGTCGAAGCAGAACAGTGGGATGTTAAACCCCATTTCATTTCATTTCTGTTGTATTATTTTACTAAAAATGGTGGTGGGGGTGAATGGCCTGTCATTGAGTCAACTGGCATGGTTTCCAATCCCTGGTTGTACATGACAAGGGGTATGGTTGCCTGTCCAACTTCGTAGCTTTTCTCCAGGTCCTCCGGTTTCCTCCCACTGCTAAAGACCCATACGCGCAAGCAAATTATTGAAATAAAATTTTAAAAAACATGGTATTCCCAAAATGACCTAGTTTGTCGAGTGGACGTTAAACCCCATTTCTCTCTCTGTACTAAAAATAGCCAAAGGTAACTGTAATTTTATGACAGATATAAAGTAGACGATAGCATAGAATAGAATGTCATTTAATATTTGGGGGGTTGAGTGGTCTAGTGGTCTAATGGTCTGTCATTGAGTCAAGTGGTGTGGTTTTGATTCCCAGCTTGTACGTGACAAGGAGTTGTATCGCCTGTCCAACCTCGTGGGTTTTATTAGGACAGTGACATTACCGCCTACACTTTTTCAAATTCCAACTACCTAGGTTGCATTTACTTGAATGCCAATGTTACATGGGACCTCAGCTTTCAAGCCATCCAAAAAACTAGGCATAACTAACTTACAGCCCGGCATGTACATTTTAGTTCAGAGGCCTGTGCCCTATTGCTGCCCGGCTTATAATATATGAGGTGGACTAGCGTAAACATTCTTTTGTGTGTTGCAATTTGTTGATTTTAACCAGAAATTTCTGTAAATCAGATGGCATATTTTTTTTATTTAGCTTTATAAACAGTATAGTGTAATTAACTTTGATATTTTGATTTTCATGCAATACTATAGACAAACAGTTATTATAGTACTCAGGATGACATTTTCACAATTAATCACACATTGACTGGCAAAATTGTGGGGGTTGGAGGGTTGAATGGTTAGCATGTGCACGCTGTATCATAAAGTCTGTCATTGAATCAACTGGCGTGGTTTCGATTCCCCGGTTGTACGTGAGAAGGAGCCTGTCCAACCTCATGGGTTTTCTCCGGGTCCTCAGGTTTCCTCCCACTGCTAAAGACCCCTACCAGCAAGCGAATTATATTAGTCCCGAAATGACCTAGTTTGTGTCGAGTGGACATTAAACCCCATTTCTCTCTCTCACTGACAAAATTGCAGATGCGATTCCAGGAATGTAACTTTACCATTATCGAGATGTGACTGTTTTATTTTATTACAGGAGAGAGTAATCATGGAAGGTGTATGTACATCAAGTCAAGCTCAAGATGTTATAGATAAAGATATGCTACCACTAATAGGTAACCAACAAAAATCATTTGAAGAAAATCTGGAAGTTATGGAAGTAAGTTTACGTTTTTCTGTGCTAAGCAGAATTGGGTCGTCTGTGTGTGGGATCAATATGATTAAAACACAGATCCTATTTCGTTTCGTTTTTTATTGTTCAAAATTTCAAGTTCATTTTGGGCTTGTTTAAAGTATATAACGGTCTAATTGATAATTTCTATAACATCTGAAGCCTATAAAAAGATTTGCAATAGGCAGATTTAGCTTTTAGCTAATATATCTTTAAAAATAATATGTGTTTATTAGAACTAACATGCAATTTACCGGACAATTAAATAATTGTTGGGCTCAATTGAAACCCATCTCTCTGGCCAGATACAGCTCTAAACAAGCCCTGATTGAACTATCTTGCAATATTATTTAAAGGGAGATAATACCTCCATTCTCTATTAATATATAAGCAAAAGATAATGTGGATGGTCGATTGTCAGTCCGCAACGTTCCAAATTGACAGAATTGCAATCGTGTGACGAGGAATTCAGTCCTGTCATAGTTCTGTCAGTTCTGACAACTGATGTGGTGTGAGTAGAATCATGACGTAATTAAACACAACGAATATGTTTCAGCTGTTATGGGTGTTCGAGATATTTTCTAATGCAGTCAGCACATGCGTTCTAGCCCCAAATTCCTATTTTCCCTCGATTGTCACTATTTTTGGGTTTGACAGAATTTAATTCCAGAATGTTCAATCGAGCATTCCCATAAACTCTGAATTGTCTGTTGCTATTACCAGAAGATGACAACTCCAATTCTCTATTACATATTATGAGCAGGAGTTGATAACTTCAATTCTTTATTACATATTATAGGGGAGTGGATGGCCGATTGGTTAGCGCGTACGCATTGTATCGTAAGGCCTCTGTCATTGAGTCAACTGGCATGGTTTCGATTCCCCAGGTGTACGTGACAAGGAGTAGGTTTGCCTGTCCAAGCTTGTGGGTTTTCTCCAGGTCCTCCGGTTTCCTACCACTGCCCATACGCGAATTATTGAAATAAAATTGAACCATGTGTTAGTCCCAAAATGACCTAATTTGTGTCGAGTGGACATATTATAAGCAGAAGAAATTTATTCTATGTTACCAAAAACCAATTGAAGTCTATTTCAACAGTTCTTACAAAAAGGAGATATTTGTTTTAACTGACAAGGACAGCTGTCTTGTCGTTCAGATGGTACAAAAAAAAAAAAGGTCCCGTGTACACATTGGCGTGCATGTAAAAGATCCCTTGACAGTTGGAATTCGATATAAGAGTAGGCCGTAGTGCCGCTGTCCTTGCAAAATTTCCCTCATAGCACACTGTATGGCGTATGCCCGTCTTCATTAGCTCAGTTTGTAGCAGAACAGTAGGAAGTTAAACCCCATTTCATTTCATTTTGTTTTACTATTTTAATTTTTTTTTTTCAGAATGCTTTAGAGACTCATGGCTTAACAATGTCAACCGATATTAAATCTTTGTTTAAATTTGCTCAAGGTGCCACTCATGTGTGGGATATCCATGAGATAGGCCTGGCGAAACAGGAGAGAGCCCTACAAGAAAAACTAGAACATTGTCGACATGATCACGATTATAAAAATCAGGTGGGTATCTTGAAAATACATTTCCATTTTTAGACCTAAAAAAGTCACGATTTTTATCCCCGATTTAATTTCAAATATTAAATAATACTATTTGAGAAAATTTTATCCATGAAAAATTAGATATTGTCTAAAAAATGAAAATGATTTTCATTGTTCCTAGAAGTATAGTTTTGACTTGGATATCAGTTATTCTCAAGGGGGAGTGGCTACAAACAGCGCGAAAACCTTGGTTAATTATATACAGCAGAACAATTCCAGAAGTATAGCTTGGACTCGGATATCAATTATTCTCGAGGGGAGTGGCTACAAACAGAGTGAAAAGCCCTGTTAATTATGTACAGCAGAACAATTTCAGAAGTATAGTTTAATAATAATAATAACTAGATCTGCTAAGCAGATATTAAAGCTTTCATATTCACAGTCACTGTCACATGTCATAGAAATAATATGAACAGAAAAAAAAAATCATTATAATGAGTAAAAATTTGGTGAAGTTAATTCGATTTTTCACTGGTAAATAATTAAATAGACAAGTGGCATAACTTGACCCGCATCCCATCAGCTATCCTGAAAAATGCTGGAAAAATTAAACAAGTAAATTGTGTTTAGTACTGGGTTAATTAAGACAGGCATATGCCTTTGCTATACAGGATGACATGAGGGAAATTTAGCTTGGGAGGTGTAGGCCTGCAGCCAAAATTTCTAGCTAGCTTAGAAACACAACTCCGCTACACGGTCTTCCATAAAAGAAAAACTATACATTTTTGGAAAGCTTATGATGCCAGGAAGACAAAATCTGGGAGTTCCAAGCAAAATGTTTGCAATTTATTGATTTAGGGCCAGATGAAATTCGTCAAAATTGTCAAATAAATGCTATTTGTGTACTAACAATTCTGAAGTTGACATAAAATTAAATAGTTGGTAAAACACCTCATGCCTTCATCCTTGGCAATGAACAGTTTATTGGACAGATTTTGATGTAAATAAAAATGCTCAAAACACAAATGTCATGGGTGAATAAAGAATTGTGGAAATCCATTAACGGTAAAAAAGAATTATCTCCCTTTCTGTCAAATGCCTGTAATTGATAGACTATCAGGTCTTGTATGAATCATAAGACCAGGTGTGGGCAAACAAGCCCAATAATTATTTTGTTTGTTGGATCTCAAGGGCCTGTTAGGGTTGGTTGTTGGATGTTTGCTCAGAAATTATCGCTTGTATGGAACATGCTAGAGTCGATTTGTAGCATATTCTAGCCAGGGGATATGTTTGACAGTAGTTGAGTGATATGCTTTTGAAATAATGGAGATCAGTAGCACTTTATAAGCATTGAACCACATGATTTTTTTCCACTAAGATAAACATTCTAAACCCACATACATGTTCCCTTTCAATTAGCCACTACAGTATTTTTACAACTGTACATGTAGCTGTGAACTACTATTTCGGATATGATTAATGGTCAAATTACAAACATACATGTAGATATAAGTTAAAAAAAATAATTGTGTATCTGGGCTGGAATGAAGGGAAAGGTTAGAAAACAGGATGAACAGTTGTGAAATTATTTATTAAAGTGAAACAATCATTGAAAATCTAGCTATCACATATTAAAAATAGAAGAGTGTTGGATTCCGAGAACGTTCAAAATAAATTCAAAACCCACCCCCAACAATCAAAGGTTTTTTGCTTAAAAAATTGCCGTATTTTATCGAATTTTTATTGTTCTTGATATCTGAGGATTTTCTCAATTTAATATGTGATAAATATCATCGCGGCGCAGCCAACCGCTAGAAATTCCAGAGATTTGGACCACCGGAAGGATGCCTCAGCAGTCAAAAAAGGTCAAAATAGGCGATTTCGGTTTCTAGTGTTGATACATCGTTACGGTCATTTTAAAAAATTGTCTTTTAAGGATAATGTGTATAGTACCAATACCTATCACATAAGGAAGAGGCGATAAAATCTCTTTGCATTTGCAATTTCAAAATTAATTAAAACCAATATTAAATTCCGAAAATCGTTTTTTTGCTAAAACTCTTTTTTTTTTAATCGGATCAAAATGGGAGTAAGGCACAGAGTCCGGGGTGGTAATGGGCGTATTGTGTCCAAATTTCATGGTTTTCGGACAATCGGTGCCGGTGTCACGGCGAAATTCCACTTTTTTCCCCTCATAGAAGCCGTAAATTGACTTGAAGCCAGGGTCCTTGAAGTTGTACAGCTGCACCCGGTGACCGATATTTATTTAACGGGGAATAAGTGATAATTCATATTATAGCAGTAAATAATTAAAATATTTCATAGGGATTATAATAATATGTATATCTTGTCTGGGTACAGGGTTAAAACCAATATTAAATTCCGAAAATCGTTTTTTTGCTAAAACTCTTTTTTTTTTAATGGGATCGAAATGGGGGTAAGGCACAGAGTCCGGGGTGGTAATGGGCGTATTGTGTCCAAATTTCATTGTTTTCGGACAATCGGTGCCGGTGTCACGGCGAAATTCCACTTTTTTCCCCTCATGAAGGCGTAAAACGACGAAAGGCAGGTGACAAGAACAAACGACTTGAACGAATGCAGGTATCACCTTGAAATTTTCAGGGTACCTAGGTACCAACGTGAAAAGTTGCTCGCCGAAATTTAGTACTCATGGTACCTTTGGTTCTAGCGTAGCGCATGCGCGAAGTCAAATCCAGCTAAACTCGAAAACAACCTTGTCGGCACGGAAAACATCAAAGGAGAAATTCGAATTTTTGAAATATTCAAATACCAAACGTTCGACCATGGTCACGACCAATTGTATATGTTTTCAAGCCCATAAATGTGGATTTTTCACTAATTGTCATTTTCAATTCAAAATGGCGTCCATCATTTGCCGGAAATCAAAATTGTGTTATCTACCGTTTTTCGGCTTTCCTTCAAGGATTCGGAAAATATAATTGCCTTGTCTGTAAGTAAAATATCAAAAAAGCCTTATGTAATTTTCACATTTCAAGATGGTGGCATTTCCGGTTTGAGCTACAAACTCAATTTTTTGTGTACGAATCAGTAGTGTCGTAGCTAGTAAAGAAAAAAAAATCAAGGCAATCTGACCTATATTTCGTCGATTTTTTTGAAAACATTGATCCTTAATTTCATCAAGGGGAGATATTTTTGAAGTCGCATTGATAAGATCTACTTACATTCTAAATTTCATGAAAATCGTGCAACTATTAAAAAAGTTTTCAAGTTGATCTCAACTTCCGGTTCAAAATCACAGCGACGAATTTTCGAAATTCGAAATTGCAGATTTTAAGTAAATGTTTCAAGGCACCCCTCAAAAAAAGAATTAGTAAAATAGGTCAAATAGTTACAAAGTTACAGTAATGTAGGTCAAATGAATTTGTTCGTAAAATTCGGTGATTTCGGATTCGAAAAACGATTTGAAAATATATTTAATCAACATTCGCACCCCATTTTTTTTGGGGGGGGGGGGTAGGTCAAAGTTTCAGATTGATCCTATGGTTAGATTCTGAGAAATCCGATTTGTAGAAATGACACAAAAAAAAAAAATAATAATAGGAACAAGTGGTATCAGATGCCTCAGAGAGAATATTCAAATGCTCCTTGTGATACGTTTGTAACACAATTATAACCTAATGTATTACACGGGAGTGGAGTGGGTGGGTCGGGGGGCTTTTCGATTGGCAGGGGACTATTAAAATGGGTAAGCAGAGATAAGCAATTTGATGAAACTTTGTGTATAGTTTCATTACATTAGTACCTTGACCATATTACCTTGACCAAGTTCGACAATGAGCATTCTCTTAGTCAGGATAAGCAAAGCAACTTGATTGGCCGGGACTTTGAATTGGTTGATGCTTTGGGGTATGATAACTTTGGTTATAATGAAGTACTGGAACATAACAACCCAGCTTTTAATTGAGCTAGAATGTTTAAACTTGGTGTAGATGTTCATCAGGTCTTGACTGAACATTTTGAGCTACAGCTTGGCAATTTCATTGGTCGATGCTTTGGGACAAGATAACCTTGATTTCTATCTGACAGAGAGTGATGAAATTTACAGTATAGTTTGATTGCTTGATACTTTTGAAAAAAATATGAAAGTGCGATTAATTAATGTGTCATCTTTTACTTTGGGGTTTTGGCGGGAGACATCAGCCATACTGTTTGCTTGTTTAATATCCCCTATACAATATACGCTCGACCTCATTACCCGAACTGGGGTAGAAAAGTGGGATCTTTGACAATGAGGCAATGAACTTGTACATTCTTTTGCAGCTGCACAAGAGGGAACATCAACGCCGGATTAACCATGGTGGTGGGGAGGGGGGCTGATACCGACCGTGAAGCCCCGCAAGGGGGTCGGGTCAGGGGGTTCTCCCGCTAAGAAATTTTAATTGGAGGCCGAAAACGTGATTTCATGGCATTTCAGGCACTTGTGTCGGAGCCATTTAGAAATACCTCCCCCAGAAAAATAAAATTCTGCCACAAAATTAGCCACAATCCATGCGGGTGCTGTGAAATTTCTAGAGGAGGGAGCTGGAACCCATGAGCCCATTAAATTCGCCACTGTAAATGAGCAGAGCTACATCAAACCTAATTTTGAGTCCCTCAGTGATAAATAACTTGATTCAAAATCGTATTATAGCCCCGTAACGTTACGACAAAGTCTAACACTGTAAGTACCAAATAGTCATACGAGATATGTGCATCTCATCAAATTCAGCTTATACCATACCCACAATAATGTTACGGAGTCAGTGAGTTCAAGTTAGACAATACGCTGACCTTCCACTGACCATGCTTATAATATAAAATCTGTCAATGACAGCTGATTCATTGTTTAGTTTTTTATATGATATATTTAATATCAATAATATATGTATATGCATGCTTTATTTTACTTTACACGACCTCTAAAAATGCCCCAAATCGTAAAAATACGACTTTTTGGATTTCGATCTCCTTTTTTCGGCTACCCCGGACATTTTCAAAAAATGATACAATGATTTCACACAACAGGCCAGCTATTAGCCTCTCGATTGACAAGAGTTTCATCGCCCTCCATTCATTATAACCAATGTGATCGTGCCCTAAAGAATCAACAAATCAGCTTGCTTATCTCTGCTTACCCTAGGCAAAAAATGCTCATCTTTGAACTCAATCATGACATTGACCTAGTGAACGCCTACACCAAGTTTGAACATTCTAGCTTAATTAGAAGGAGAGTTCTTGTGTTCCAAAGTCCCGGCCCTTCAAATTTCTTCTATTTTTCATTTTCAATTCAAAATGGTGACCATCACGTGACCGAAATCAAAATTCTGATCCGATAGATTTTTAGGCATTCCTTCCAGGATTCCGAAAATATGACGCCCGAGTCTGTAAGTAAAATAGCAAAAAAGCCTTTTTGATTTTTCACGTTTAAAGATGGTGGCACTTCCGGTTCGATCGACAAACTCCATATTTTGTGTACGAATCAGTAATTACTTGTCTAGTATCAAATTTTTTTTTTAGGTCATTCTGACCTATATTTCGACGATTTTTTTGAAAACTTTGATCCTTAATTTCACCAAGGGGAGATAATTTAGAAAATTTCCAAGGACATCATTGAAGTCGCATTGGCAAGATCTACTAACATTCTAAATTTCACGAAAATCGCACAACTATTAAAGAAGTTGTCAAATTGGTAATAACTTCCGGTTCGAAATGACAGCAACGAATTTTCGAAATGCCAAAATCCGAAATTGCAGATTTGAAGTAAATGTTTCAAGATACTCAAAGAAAAAAGAATTAGTAAAATAGGTCAAATAGTCACAAAGTTACAGCATTGTAGGTCAAATGCATTCCTTCGTAAAATTCGGTGATTTCGGATTCGTAAAACGTTTTGAAAATATATTTAATCAACAGCCACCACCCATTTTTGGGGGGATAGGTAAAAGTTTCAGAACGATCCTATGGTTAGATTCTGAGAAATCCGATTTGTGGACAAAACACAAAAAAAAAATAACAATAATAATCTTAACAGAAACAATAAGCTTTCATATGTAATATGAAAGCTTAATAATAATCGTTTTCTATAGCGCTGAACATTCAGTCAGTCTGACTGCTCTGTGGGGCTTTACAATGTAGATATGATTATAAAAAACATACATGTATATACAAATAAACAAAAGAATACAAGGGAATAGTCAAGTTACAATATATAAGTGGAAAGTGAAGCATTTAAATTATATTTCAAATGTTCGGGTAAAATATAGCCAAGTTTGGACTATTTTGGACTCCCAGAGGCAATTTGTTCCATTCTTTTGGTGCTGGGTATGCAAAAGCTCTCTCACCAAATTTTGAACTGGACATACAAGTTGTTTTTTTATGAGATGAACGTAAGGAGCGAGAAGTTACATATTGTTTAATCAAATCGGATAAATAGGATGGTGCCAAAGGATTGTTTAAACAGTTGAAAGTTATTGTGTTAATGGACTCGGATATCAGTTATTCTCAGGGGGAGTGGCTACAAACAGAGCAAAAAGCCCTGTTAATTATATACAGCAGTACATGTACATTGTTCCCACAAAACACACATTTTTATGGTATGTTATAGATATTCAACATGTTACCATGGTAACTAGGTAAATAATAGAACAAAGATGTCTAGTTGTAGGTACATGTAGAGTTTACTCAGAGTGGTTTGATTAAATCATTTACTATGTTTGTTAGTAAACTCGACAAACTCAACAGACAAACTTATTAAACTTACTAATGACTAAATCAACTTATTATAAAACTAGGTGTTTGCTGTACCACTTTTACATACTCCAGTGTTTATTTCTTCTGGTCAACAAATAACTTTAAAGAAACAGTCTTAGTGTATAATAAAAAGAAAAATGTCTGAACTGACAATCTATTTGCATTGTGATTAGTCACTTAACATCAGTGTTTTTCACAAGCAGTGGTTTTAGAGATGCCTTTCAGTGTACAAACTGGGTGATTTGGTGATATATTTGGACTAAAAACATATTCAAACTAATTAATCTTATCAAAAATTTCCTCCAAATTCCTCTCAAAACATTGTATTCACAAGGAAATACCCCCAAGATATAAATAATCTATTTTTAGAAGCCATGTTTGTCAGGTAACTTGATTGAGGGAGGGCCTATTTTCAGAATGTATTTGTCATTACTTATTGTCCATTTACCATAGGGGGGTTGGATGACTGAATGGTTACCGTGCGCCCGTGTATCATAAAGTCTGTCATTTAGTCGACTGGTGTGGTTTCGAATCCCTGGTTGTACGTGACAAGGAGTAGGGTCGCTTGTCTAACCCCGTGGGTTTTCTCCGGGTCCTCTGGTTTCCTCCCACTGCTAAAGACCCCTACGCGCAAGCGGATTATGTAAATGAAATTAAACCATATGTTGGTCCCGGAGTGGCCTGGTTTGTGTCGAGTGGATGTTAGACCCCATTTCTCTCTCTCTCTCCATTTACCATACATATTGAAGCCTAACTAAATTCTTGGATTATCTTCTGCCAACTTCTTTTTGGGTGGTTAAATTGCAGAGTCTGTTGTAGGTTTAAAGGTCACCGGAAAAGGTTCATAATTTTTTTAAATAATGCAAGTAATTATGTCAACATATCCTTTCCATAAGTATAAGACGAACCCGATTGTCAATATTACCTGCAACAGGTAAATTTCAACATTAGTAATTTCCGCCATTCTCCATGGGTAGTCGTAACTTTCCGTAAAAAAACATCTGTGACGTCATTTTAATCTTTCTGCTCATATTCTAGTCTATATTTCTATGTGCAGAAGGACTAAAATGACGTCACAGATTGCTTATTGACGGAAAGTTATGACTACTCACGGAGAACGGCGGAAATTACATATGTTGAAATTTACATGTTGCGGGTATTGACATTCGGGTTTGGGTTATACTTATGAAAAGGATAAAATGTGGACATAATTAATTGCATTATTTTAAAAAAAATTGATGCTTTTCCGGTGACCTTTAAACCCCTTTATTTTTCCCAAACCACCTAACCATTCGATCAAGAAATAACAACTGCTCCCTAAGTTAAGCTGGCAGACAATAAGCCGTCGGGCTGACAGCTAGTGATGTAAAGATTGTAACCAGGTCCTAGTTCCTATAAAAATCCTCAGAATCCAGTTTCGTATTTATCTTGAAGTTAGATTAAAATTATTGAATCATCTAACAGAAAACTGAATAGTAGTTTTTCCAGAATTTCTGTTTATTGGAAAGTTGATTTAATTCACAATAAAACTTTGATAGAACCTATCTAGCTGAAACATCCATACAATCCCTGGGCTATAGGGTCTGTAATACTGTATGTGTTCTATCTATATTATGAAATTCAATAATGTTTTCATGTTGACTAAAACATTACATCCGTTTGTTTCCAGGATACAGAGGCCATGTTGGATAATATCATGGATAAGATGCGACAGGAATCTACAGAACAAGGTTTAGCATCAAGTTTAGTTAAAGCTCTAGAGATGCTGGAAAGAATACGCCTATCGTAAGTTGATCTTTCTTGTAAGTTATTTCATCCAGGGATCTCAACCAGTCCTTTCTTTGAGGGGGAGTTGGGTGGCTGAATGGTTAACGCATGCGTGTTGAATCATAAGGTCTATCAATGAGTCAACTGGCGTGGTTTTGATTCCCCAATTGTGCGTGATAAGAAATACGGTCGCCTGTCCAACCTTGTGGGTTTTCTCCGGGTCCACCACTTCCCTCCCACTTCAAGCGAATTATTGAAATAAAACTGAACCATATGTTAGTCCCGAAATTACCTAGTTTGTGTCGAGTTGATGTTAAACCCTATTTCTCTCTCTCTTTCCCTTTCTTTGAGGCATAACAGTCAGGCTTTCCCTCGTAGTCCTTGTCATCCATTTTGGAACAAAAGTTAACACAACTTATATAACCTCCTCACATCATTAAATATAGAAGTTTATGAAACTGCAAGAGAGGGTTTCAAAATGTTCTAAAATGCATGCTCATTGTCATCGTTGTCATCTATTTTGGAACAAAAGTTTACAAACTTATATAAGGTCATCACATCTTTAGATATAGAAGTTTATGAAACTTTAAAAATGGCTTCAAAATAGTCTGAAATACATCCCCATACATATTTATAAGCTTACTTAAAAATTGGGTGTTTTAATTAGTTCAAATCAATGAAACACTGTGCAGAATTTGAGATTATACTAACACTTCACTATTCATCAAACTTTTCTTAAAAATTACAATATGATCCAGTGTGTGTGCTGATTTTAAAAAGCTGCATTGCTTAATCTGTTCTTATGAACCTCCTGGGTTTTTTCTGGGTCCTTTGGTTTCCTCTCACTGCTAAAGACCCCTACACGCAACCCAATTATTGAAATAAAATTTAGCCATATGTTTGTCCCGAAATGGCTTAGTTTGTGTCAAGTGGACGTAAATCCCACCCCTCCCTCCCTCTCTCTCTCTCTCTCTCTCTCTGTAGTTTAGGCCACAAGTTCTGTCAAAGAGTCAAATGGTGTGGTTTCGATTTCCTGCCATCTATCTAACCTGGTGAGTTCCGATTCCTTCGGTTTACCCCCACTGTTAAATAACTGTACACGCAAGCGAATTTATGAAATAAAATTCAACCATATATTAATTTCAAAATAACCTAGTTTATGTCAAGTGGACGTTAAACCCCATTTCTCTCTCTCTCTCTCTCTCCTCTCTCGCAGAAAATGGCGAATTTCTAAAGTCAATTGCATCGTTTGACAAAACTCTAATGTGTCAGAAACTTGACAGATAAATATATTTTATGTTATGATATAATCTGTGCATTATCTTTTATTTAGTTATTATATTTTATCTTTTTTTTTTTAGTTACGAAGTTTTTCACCAGAAACAGACAGATATTGTTCAAACATATCCTGAAATGGTGAAAAGTGAATTGGACAGTTATGATGAGGCCGTCTGTAAATTCTTTATGGTTAACCGCAATCATCCAGACGTAAGTATGCATTCATGTGGTCCTCTTGCACTAATAAATCAAACTTGGACAAAGTTTCTCAACTCGAAATGACAATTTTGTTGGATTGGCTCTTAAAGCCAGTTCAGTTTGAATTTTCGGTTTTGATTTTTAGGCTTTAGACAATTTTTCTGAATTAGTTCTTTAAGAGAGGGACTTATGTAGACCATACAACTGAGAGCAACAGGCATTTCAGCAACTGAAAAAGGTCAACCTGAGCACATTTTACAACTGAAAGCAACTAGTTCCGCTCAGTTGAAGCCAGTTGTCCATGTTTAACTTTCTGCAAATCGCTTCAACTAGAGGCAACTAGTTGCCATCGACATGAGCGTCCTTACAACTGACTCAACTTGTTTCCATGGAAATAACATCATGTGATAATAGACATGTGTCATGTGACTATAAATAAGTAAAATGGAAACGAACGAAGGCACACACTTTTCAAATGTTGATGACGTCGACAATAATGTATTAATAGAATTGTGGCAAGCCCGACCATGCTTTTGGGGTTTTTCTTCTAAGGTATTCACCATTTTGAATAAATTAACAGTCACATGTTAAGTGGTATTGCTATCAGTTCCACGTTGCTCTCAGTTGCTGATTATGATCGACATAATCACACTTGCAACTGACTGCAACTAGTTGCTTTGATATTTGCAAAGTTGACATAAACCCACCTTTAGGCCATACCAATTTAAATTTGAGTTCTTCAGGATCAACTATTAAAATTTGTTGGGTGGAAAGAATTAAAAAATATATACTTGGTTGCCTACTTTAGCCAATTTATCAAGATCCTGAATTGGTTTGGCCTAAAATGATTTATAACTAAAAATGTTATGACACCAGGAAGGCTTTTGTGACAACTGCCAGACACCCCTCAGGATCTGAGGAAAATAGTTTACAACATGCATGCTATAAATATTCAGTGAATCTTGCTTTCTTAGGATGTAAGAGACAGTGTTGATAGCGATGGTCGTGATTCTAGGTCCTCCGTTTCAAGTCCGGAAGAGAAGAAAGAGCGAAAAATGACACCAACCAAAAAAAAGCGTAAAAATAAAAAGGAATCGGTGAGTCTTTTTTAACATTTTCGATTTTATACAATCTGATTCAAATACAGATCTATATTTCGTTTCGTTTTTTTATTCTTTCGATGGCCTACTCTACATGAAGATCTGACCACAGTTGTACTGGAAGGCTGCGTCAGGGGTTGTATGAGTGGCTTTTGACTCTATGATGTCAGACATCGATTAATCAATCAGTGTTGATGTTTCTAGTGGTTTATCCACGCCAAAAACTCGCCATAACAGACTGTTTCATTGGTTAATTCCTCACATTAACTAGAACGTCTGTTTTATAACAACTCTTCCAGATCCTTGTGTAGTAAAGACAAGTAAAACGAAATTTTGAACTATAAAACACAAAACTAATTAGGATCTGTGTTTTAATCAGATTGGATTTTAGTAGGTATAATAGAAAAGATACAGTAAAAGAACATCCAATTCCATGATTTTCATGTATTATAAAGTCACCAGTCCAACTCAACATCCACTGGTCTTCTACTGAGTATTGTACTTGAAAAAGCAAACATATCTGTATTTTGAAAATTTACTTTAGCAGTTGAAAGAAGCTGGAGGACCTGGAGAAAACTGAGTGTTAGGGGTGTTGGATGGCCGAATGGTTAGCGCGTGCGCGCTGTATCATAAGGTCTGTCATTGAGCCAACTGACGTGGTTTCGATCCCCTGGTTGTACGTGACAAGAAGAAATAGGGTCCCCTGTCCAATCTTGTAGGTTTTCTCTGGGTCGTCCGGTTTCCTCCCACTGCTAAAGACCCCTACGCACAAACAAGTTATTGAAATAAAATTGAACCACGTGTTAGTCCCGAAATGACCTAGTTTGCGTCGATTGGACATTAAACCCCATTTTTCTATCCCTCTCACACTTAGGTGTTAAACCATTCTGCCAGTCAACCTGACATGAAAACTGAAAAAACTGATTGTGCCATTGACTTATTATTAGCTCAACCAGGTGCATTGTTTTGTCGGCAATGATATCATTCAGATGTTGAGTAAAATATTTACTTCACCATAATTATCAATTTTTAGTTTAACAATTTCTCACACACACACCACAAAAACTAAGACATTAATGTGAAAGTTTAACATGTTAGACATAATGTGTAACCTTGTGACTGAGGTATTTTATAAATAGCAATAATAAAGCAGAAATCAAACAGTAATAGACTACAAAGCATGCATTTATTATTGTTTTATTTGAATTTCTTAAAGTTTTATATTTGGATTAAAGTTGTATGTTTAGATTAAAGTTTTATGCTTGATTTTAATGTAATCATTTAATGTAAGTCAGTACCTATACATATTTATATAAATTTGAAACATTTCTTCTCTTAAAATAGAAAAAAAAAACCCAGAATTTAATTGTGTCCTAGTTTGTGTCGAGTAAACGTTAAACCTCTCTCTTTTTGACTAATCTTTATTAGTTTATGTCAGAATAGACCTAGAACCCGACATATGCATAGTCCTTCGGAGATACAAAAAACCAAGGTCTATGTAAAGCAAATTCTTGACATTTCGAATTGGAGGATCTAGTGCACAAGTGATCTAACAACCAACTAAAATGCTCTAGACCCTCCAATTCATAGTGATAAAAATAACCATAGTTCTTAAAAAAAACTTGTTTGCCTCAGTATGACTTGAAATAAAATAAGACCCCATTATAAACATCTACATAGCAATAGATATTGTGACCTATGTTAAAATATAATTTGATCTAGCCTCCCCATTTGGTATTTTATAATTTAAAATATGTTTATAATTTGATCTATCCTCACCATGTGATGTTTTTTTCAATTTGAAATATGTTAGAATTTGATTTGATCACCTCCTTATGTATTGTTTTATAATTTAAAATATGTTAAAATATAATTTGATCTAGCCTTCCCATGTGGTATTTTATAATTTAAAATAATATGTTACAATATAATTTGATCTAGCCTACCCATGTGATGTTTTTATAATTTAAAATATGTTAAAATATAATTTGATCTAGACTACCTATATAATTTAATACATCCTTGTTTTCTTTTCTCATTGGTAAATTGCGACATACGAACTTTATGACATTAATAGAAATTTAATGTAGTGTGGGGTCTTTATGGATATGTGGGATGATAATTTGATTATCTCTATTTCCTTTTCTCATGGGTTATTGTATAGAGGGTGTGGTCGTATGTCACGTCTGTCTGTTAGTAATATATTAATATCTTGTCATAACACACGTTTATTATACCTACCTTAGTTTCAAATATTTTTTTTTCTAAATGTGCTTTTGATAGCCATTTTATACGAAAAGAAGTTGAGTTTTATATAGCATTATTTAAAACATCATGACCTCATGTCAAAATAACCTGTAAGTTTGCACAAATAATTGTGTGTGAAAATTTTTAAAAAACTTGCACATTCTAATTTCTTATACTTAAACCCTAATATCATGAAATAAGAGGAATATGCTTATATAATACTATAGGGGTTACTTTAGCTCTAGGAAAAGTGCGCTCTTTGATATATTGAAATGAAATGAAATGGGGGTTTAACGTCCTCCTGTTCTGCTCCGACTGGGCTAATGAAGACGGGCATACGCCATACAGTGTGCTATGAGGGAAATTTTGCCCGGACAGTGGCACTATGACCTACTCTTATATCGAATTCCAACTGTCAAGGGATCTTTTATGTGTACGCCAATGTGTACATGGGACCTTGGTTTTTCATCCCGTCCTAATGACTAGACAGCTGTCCTTGTCAGGCCCTCCGTCCTGCATCACTGACAAGGGGGGAACCACCTGGGAAAATCTGGATGAACTCTCTCTCCCTCTCTTATACTCAGTCCCTAATATCATAATATAAGAAAAATATTATACTGATACAGGACCCTACATGAGTTATTGCAAAGTAAGAGCACCTGTTAAAATGTTATATCAATACCGGTAACAAATTGGATTTAACCCAGCTGTAATTAGGTATTGTTAAGAAAATGAATGGTGAAATTAACCTGCAGTGTAAATTCAGGCCAGAATAAGATTTTTACCCTCAAAAATTAGCTGACAATGGAGGTAAATTGTCTTCACACATGAAACTCAGCATGAGAGATCAACCTTTCTAGTCTGACTATTAAAGATACATTATGGGAGATTAGATAACGAGCTGACAGTTCTCACTATAATAGTTAAAAACTAGATAATGTAAAGGGAATTTGCTGAAAATTTCAGTCAAATTGATCCACTATGAATCAAGATTTTACCGATTGAATTTTCGGCTTAGCCTCGATCATCATTACTAAAGTCTGTAAGATAAAAAGCATAGTCTCGATTATCCATTTCATGATTAAATTATGAATGGAAGTCGAACAGGAAATCAGAACATAATCCAATAAACATCGCAAGCTAGCGATGCCATCGAGAGTTGGTTATGGTCTGGATAAGTTAATTAATGTCTAATAATTTAGATAACATTTAAGGCCTAAAGAAAGACCTGCAATAGACAGATTTAGCTCTTGCATAATGCATGTTTAAGTAAAATATGCATGAACATGCCTATATACCGTAATATCTAAAAAAAAAAACGGGTGGAGTATATATTTAATGATTAATTTCTTTCACTTGGTTTAACGCCTAATGTATATATGAAAGTTTTCTATTCAGAAAAAAAAATACCCCATGGATGTTCTTGTGAAAATACGAAATTGCGAAAGGGTCAGGATAAACTAACATTTAAATTTTGTCACGCCCTAAATATTGTCATAATAGATGTATTAAAAAACTATTTGTGATATGTATAAAAGTATATAGTAAGTCTATAAATAAGACTATTTGTGATTTTGAAAGAGTAGGGATATAATTTATATAATGTGTTGTCTGTGTCTTAAGAATATTAGACATAGTCTGTTGTGACTATCAAGCCGTGAGCATATAATATAAGAATATTTTATTTACATTAGTGGGCTGAAGTTCACATGTCTGTACATGATATTGACACGTTAAGAGCAGGTTTTATTGTAAGCTTTTATCCATTTCTGTCCATACTTTTTTTTTTCTTATGTACAGTAGACAAAATTTGAGGCAAGAATATTGTTGAATGAAAAAGACCTTTTTTAATTGTTATTGATATATTTTTTTATTTATAACAAATTTATATAAAATAGAAAACATAAAGATTTCTTACAAAATAAAATATCTATATTGGTGTCATTAAAGCATTGAATCTGGATCTTTAATTAAAATTGGGTTTTTTGGATTCCCAACTTCAAAGAATATACTGTTAACACTAAAAAACATTTCCAACTTCTGTGCAACTACCAAAAGTTTGGCAACATGTAGAATAAACTTGAGTTAGTAATAAGTTCCCAATTTGCCTGGATAAACATTTGTATACACTTGCTGAAGCTAGATATAAATGATTTTGGAGTGATTATCAAGTTATTCGTACAATGAACTATAAAATTTTAAACAAGTTAGATTGCTCCAATAAAGAAAGGAAAGTTGAAAGTGCTATTGAAATGACTTGTCATTCTTGTCATTATCAATTCATGCATACATTTGAACAATAAATTTTTTAAAGGGTTGGAAAAGTTTAAAGATACATTTTGTAAGATTTAAATAAAGAGCTGACCATTCTTTCTGTAATAGTTCGAAAATAGATAATGTAAAACGAGCGAAGATATTAGCCTTTGAAGGTTTAGCAAGACGTGTGCAATAATTTCAACCACCATACTGGTTGTTCGTAGCTAACTCTTGCTCCTCCATTTTTAGCTTAAATCAAAATAAGGCTGAACTGTTCTAATCTATTTAATATCGGAGAAATCCGATGCCATCGAAAGTTGATTATGGCCTGGATAAGTTAATTAATGTCTAATTAATAATTTAGAAAACATTTCAGACCTAACGAAAGACCTGCAATAGGCAGATTTAGCTCTTGCATAATGTATTTTTAAACATACATTATGCAAGAGCTAAATCTGTCTATTTAGGCTTCAGATGTTATAGAAATTATAAATTAGATCTTTATTTAAACAAGCCCAAAATCAACTCTGTAGACCCACGGATGGCTCGGCTACAGCTCAGATTTAAATAGGATTTCACTTATTGATTAAATCAAATATGGCGCACCCTGATGAGAATACATCAGTTAGATCGAGGCTAAATGGTAGAGCGTTTCCGCATGCCATTGAAAACTTTACTTGATAATCGAGATATGTAGGTGGAGTTAACGCCTGTCAATCAAACAATCGACCAAGGTTAAGGCACATTTCACTACCATTTTAGTCAAATATAACAACGATGATAACTATGTTCAGAATAAAGTAATTTGACTGAAATTTTCAATATATTCTTCTTTCATCTTTCATCATCTTTCATCATCTACTTTTGAACTGTTATAGCAAGAATGGCCAACTCTCTATAAAAATCCCCCATGTATCTTTAAGTGTTGCAATTATTTGTGCTAAACGAAAAACTGTGATAAATTTAATGTAAAAATGAAAATAATTAATATACAATAAAATGTGATCATGTTTGACTCTCATGTCTTGGCACTGATTGGACCATAATTCATTTTTTACATGCAAAATAATTTAATATTTACTAAAACTTCCAATATTTCATTAAGCTTTATCCAAGTTCTTCCCAGTTAAAACTCCATGAGTGAATTATTAATATTGCTAATCCATTATATGGCTACTATGTCCCAGTAAAATCTCCATGAGTGAATTATTAATATTGCTAATCCATTTATATGGTTACCAGAACATAAAACACGAACATATATCAAAAAATCCATGGAGTGTCACTAAATAAATATGAATGTTGATAATTCAATCCTGTATAACCTTCACAAGAATGGAATCCACACAAACCACTTGGTTGTGTTATGTTGAAATTCATCACAAATTCTGATCATGATAATACAGGTTTATTTTATAAATCAGATGGTGTAAGCAATGCCACATAATTAGATGGTGTAATCAATGCCACATAATCGGATGGTGTAAGCAATGTCACATAATCGGATGGTGTAAGCAATGCCACATAATTAGATGGTGTAAGCAATGTCATGTATTTAGATGGTGTAAGCAATGTCATATATTTAGATGGTGTAAGCAATGCCACATAATTGGATGGTGTAAGCAATGTCACATATTTAGATGGTGTAAGCAATGCCACATATCGGATGGTTTAAGCAATGCCACAAAATCAAAAACTCTAACAGTAGTGGGAGTAGTAAATGAAGGGAAAATACAGTGAATGTTTGGAAGTGTTCATACTCCATATTTTATTCCTATAAAATATATTGAATCACTTATCCTCTCGGAATATCTTCACAATTTAATCAATTTCAAAAACACACTTTAATACCATTTGTCCATTTCAGTTCCGGTCATTTTGATTTTGGAATTAAAATAAACTATTCTCATAGTTTTGTACTTTCCATTATTTCAACCCGATCGCTCTGCTGTCGAGATCGTTTTCTGATTTTCATTTCCTCTGGATATTTTCCGTTATTGTTCAAAAAGGAACCTTGTCTGAATAATGGATTTGATATTGCTGAGTCGCTTCGTAATTCAGGAATCACTCCCCCGTGCCAGTTATTGATGTCACGATCTTCATCAATGGCGATTTGCTCGGAATCTAATCCTAGTCCCTTATCGCGTACAGTCCATTGACTATTAACCATCTTATTCATCGTCTGTTTATCTGGAAGTTCAAGGCCGTCTGGATGAGCGCCAATCAAGAGAGGACTTTCCAAACAAATTTCAGCGCCTCCAGATATCTCCACACGGAACTGAAAAGTATACGATATCTCAATGATGTCACAATGCTCTAGACGAGTTTCTGGAATATACGGCGGTACTGTCAGACGTGAATGCAGCCAGCGTCGACCCTCATTTTCTCCCATATTTGTTTCATCTTTCTTACGATTGACGATTTGACTGAAAGTTACAGTTTTCTTGTCGGCGTGATATCTGCTATTCATAACAATGGCAGCCTGGATCAAATTAATGCGTCTTGCACTGCGATTTTTTACTTCAGCATGTATAAAAATATCCTCACCAGGAATTCCTCCATGTTTGTCTGCGCCGGCTTCGACAGATATTTTGCCTAATGAACATCCCTTCAACACCCGTTTCGATCCTTTTAACAAAATTGGTGATTCTATCGATGCAGGTAACGGTCTTTTCTGTAAAACCAGAAATGGTTCACTAGTTATTCCTGTGTCGTTTGATTTGATGCCTTGAACAGTTCCTTTAAGAATATACGTAACACTTCCATATTTTCCTATAAAAGATGAGGGAAGATTTTCCGGCAGTTGATACTCGAACGGGAAATTCTTACTTCCTGATGGAAGACTTAAGGGACGACCACTGTTGGCCTCAACAATCATGGACGACGAGTCAATATAAGTTTCCTGGGCCTGATGGACATCGCCGGTTCTGTCATCTTCAAAGCTTACATTTCCCTCACCATAAATACTGAGGTATACGGAACGAATAAGTGTTGGACGACGTAACATCACACAGATATATCCACGAACTATTTCCCCTGGTTGGTATTGATATTGTTCATCTATATCATGTTCGAGAGAAATATTTATACTATCAATAGCAGACATGTTGATTGTGAAGACTTCTGCTAAATTTATTATTCACAGGGAAGTATCATCATTGTTGTATACAGTATCTGAAAAATAAGTAAAAGAAAATATTTTAATTTTTAGCAGAAAATTAATGTTTGTGATCAAATTTAACAACCAGTAATTCTGAAAAATAAATAAAAGTACACTTTAGCAAAAAATTAATGTTTGTGATCAAATTATAGAAAAAAAAAACGTTTTTGATCAAATTTGAGCAAAGCAAACCGTTTTTAATCAAATTTGAGCAAAACAAAACCGTTTTTAATCAAATTTGAGCAAAACATGATGTTTTTATTAAAATTTGAGCAAAACAAACCGTTTTTAATCAAATTTGAGCAAAACAAAACCGTTTTTAATCAAATTTGAGCAAAACATGATGTTTTTATTAAAATTTTATCAATTCTGCATATAAAGAAGAAATCAAAATAACCATTAAGTGATCGATATATCCCATATCCTGTAAATATTATGCAGATGCATCTTTATACCTTGATTCTATTTCAAGTTTAGATATGTTGTAACCTCCTACCCAACTACGGTACTGTCTTTATGTGTTACACACACTTTTTTTTGTATACATACAGATTATTATGTGTATAGATGTATGTATTTGATAACTCTTTGTTGTGTACATATGGTAAATATCCCTCAATCATGTCATGTCATAAAAAATAAACATATTTTTTAAATAAATAAAGATACACGATAGTCTTAGGTAGCCGTCCTAGATTACTCTCTCGTTTTTATGTAGACTTTGCAGGCTTAAGTAAGACGCTTATTGAATATCAGTAAACACTGAAATATACAACATGGGGGATGGCCGAATGGTTAGAGTGTGAACATTGTATCATATGGTCTGTCATTGAGTCAACTGGCATGGTTTCGATTCCCTGGTTGTACGTGACAAGGAGTAGGGTCGTCTGTCAAACCTCATGGGTTTTCTCCGGGTCCTCTGGTTTCCTCCCACTGCTAAAGACTCCTATGCGCAGGCGAATTATGGAAATAAAATTGAACCATATGTTAGTCCCGAAATGACCTAGTTTGTGTCGAGTGGACATTAAACCCCATTTCTATCTCTGAAATATACAAAACTGAAATATTATGTATATACTTCTGTTTTGTAAGCATAACAGATTTTAGAAAGGTTAATAATATAACAATTTTAAGCCATGAATATTTTTTTTAATATTTCTACTTGTTGTAGCTAGTATTGTTCTATTATTCGCAATGTCTGTAATCATAACAGATTTTAGAAAGGTTAAATATAAAATTTAAGCCATGAATAGTTTTTTTTTAAATATTTCTTCTTGTACTTGTAGTTAGCATTTTTATGTTATTCACAATGTCTGTAATCCTTTCTAGAAATAAGATCAAAACAAATTGTTTCCCATTCAATTCAACCAATGAGTCGGAAACCAATAAAAACATATATAACTAGGGAGATATAAAACTTGCATGAACGGCCTGGAATTAGCTAAGAATGAGGAAAATTTCACAATTTGCTTGTTCAAAAATAAAACCGTTAAATATCTAATAAGAATGAGGAAAAATTCAGATGTCGGCAGCTTCACAAAACCAACTGATCCATATCCATGACACTAACTAGAGAACACAATGGCACTGGTTACTCCCTTAAATTTCTTAACCAAGTGTGTAAAATTACTAAGATGATATTTATTACAAACTCAGTAACACTATGTTCTTCCACATGGTTAAAATACCTTTGTATTTACCTATGATTTACCTTTAATTACAAAGTGTCATAAATAATAACACGCAGCATCACTCAACTGTATAGTTTAAAATTTAACTGTCTGGAAATCAGTTGAATACAAACAAATAATATCAAGTCGATCTTGACTGGTTCAGTATCAAATCATTACATATTTGCAATTTTGGATCTCGGTAATTTTTTAAGTTGAAAATTAAAGAGAATAGGTGAAACTCAAATTGAATTTATGAGTACAGGGGTAAATAAACAGAACAGGTGTATTGCACAATAACACCCCTCTAAATGCAAAACAAGGAGTGTTTATCGACATTGTATAACATGCTGTTTTAGGATTTTAAAAGAAATTACTAAAACAGAGGGGTGTTATTGTCCAATCGACAGTGGCTAATTGACCAATCAATACGCAAGATTCACCATTAAGCATGTTACAATTCTTTGTAAGTTCTCCATGAATAGGTATACAGTAACTGAACTTTGTGCAAGGATATGGTGAAATTTGCATTGTATTCATGGGCATAAAGGACAATTTCAGATGCCTTTTAACTCATCTGAGTACTTGTTTATTACATATAAATGTAAACTTAGAATTAATTTGATATTGTGGGGTGAACTGTATTGCTTTGTACTTTCCCCAAAAAAGGATTACGGAAAGTCAACTCTGTGCCAGTATATGTGGGTCTGCCTTAAATTCATATCAAGTTTATTCACTTACAAATGTATTGTAATTTGAACAAAACACACTTCTTCTATATATGATTCAAATTGAGTTATTAGATAGCTATTGTTAAACACGAACAGGAATGTGAATCCTATTGCTGTTTAGACCATATTGATATACCCAGTGTAATCCAACCGTAAATAGAGGAAGGAATATTCAAAAGGACCTAATGTATTGTATAATAATATACAGATAGTTTTATTCTAAAAGACCAAAGTAGTGTTTGTAAGATCCAGCACATGTATACAGTTTTTTTTCTAAAAGACCAAAGTAATGTTTTGTATGATAATTCAGGCAGTTATTCGAAAAGGACCCAAGTATTTTTATTCCAAAAGACCTTTTAATAATGTTTGGTATTGAATCAAAGCCTCAAGATTATCTTATGTTGATGTTTTCATTTTGTTTTCTTACGAAGCTTGAATAATCAATTGGAGTACAGTTAGTATGGATTAACAAGTATGCCATGCTTCCTGTATGAAATATACCTCAATATCTTTCAAACTAATCCCTCATATGTAATGTACGAACAAATTGTCACTGATACCTGAACCACCTGAATGTAATTCTACCTAATTATTCACTGAAATTTTTTATCAATAAAAAGATACCCCCAACTGTTGGTTCTGTTACCTATTGTATATATCTGGGGTCTTGTTTCACGAAATTTTAACTAAGATTAAATCCAAATTTTAGTAATTGGATTGGATAATATTAGATTGATTTTAGTGCTTAGCTAATCAAAATTGAAGTATATCTACTAAAATTTGGATTTTATCTTTAATTAAGATTTCGAGAAACAGGGCCCTGAATCTTGCTCAATATGCTCCATAGACTAATTCTGAAAGTAAGTCAACCATGTACAAATATTACTATAAGTTAGTCAACCATCCTAAAAATCCCAACATATATCCATTCAACCATATAAAACAAGTTCAGTCTGGCTTCATAAGATAAAAACTCGGTGTTATGTTGTAATCTCGTTCAAATATCTGAACCCTGATAATCTTCTGATCTCTTAAACTATGTGACTTCGCAGTTCGTCCGACTTAATACAATTGTGTCCTGTGTGTTTCTACTTATACCTAGTTTCAATTTTTATCTTTAGGAACATCTATATTAAAATGTTGTTTCCTTTTTTTTTTCGAGGAAAAAATTAATTTGAAAAATGGTTACTCTTGTCAAAAGCATTTATAGCTCTAGATTGTTCGTTTAATGGGGTACAAACACAAACGATAACAAGAGCTTGGGTTACAAGCAAACCTGGAAATATGACACATGTTTGGAACAAATTCAGCTTTCAGGCACAATATCTCAGGTGCCATTTCATTTTGTATGTCCCACAAAAAGTTCAAAATACCAGGAAGTAGTTAATTTGTTATTTCACGCCTGACAGTTTATCAGATACATCTAATATTTTTATTTTCAGACCAGGCCCCGAGTTCACAAGACATCCTCAGACTTAAAGAATTTACTCAAAATTGGTTCGCCCTATTTTAACTAAAATATAGACCTTTATAAAACTTTTGTTATTTTAATGTACGGTATTAAATATAACATTAAGAAACTATGTGCAAAGTTTTGTGTTTCTGGATCAAAGATATTTCTCATAAACAGTGATTGAAAGTTGAGTAAATCCTTAACTTCAGTCTGAGAATGCTTTGTGAACTTGGGGCCTGGTGACAATAATTATCATTTCAAGTAAATTTCAACTTTAAAAGTTTATAATCTACCTTTTCTGACACTCAAATCTGATCTATATTCCATTGAAACTTTCCCATCCTTAACTGTCCACATAATCCTGTAAACTGAACTGAACCGTTGTTTGTTCGTTTCTGTGGTTTTACGTCCACTCCCACCAATAACTGAACCAAAACCTACAAACTATAGAAGTATCTCTTCTAGAAGCCACAGAAGGATATTTTTTTTCTCACTGGCTTATTTAAATAAATGGATTAGCTAATCCCAGTCCAGTTTGTGATCACAAGCCTCTTGTTTGTTTCAGGAACTTCAGAGGAGCATTAGGGAGCTAATCTGTTATAATCGCGTCAGTTTTTGTGTGGAGTTTAGGAGCTAGGTGGGAGTTGTTGTGATAGGGATTAGAAGGGATTAGTGTTAATTCAGTCCGTCAATTAGGGTATTATCAGCTTGGTTAGTTAGATAGATTGACAGTAATGGAGTAAACTTAACGATCTTTAGTGATGTTATAATAATAGTCTTGATTGAGCTGTTTCTCTTTTAATTACACTAATTCTTTCAACTGACAATGTAGGTTTACTAATTTTATATGTAGCCAATCAATATGTGCAGATTTTTGTTCACGATCGAATGTTGAAGTGATGTTTTAATATGCAAGAACTTTTTTAGGTTTTACCATTATTTTTATAACTCCTTGATATGCAGATAACTTTAATATCATGTATTGGAGGTTAAATTTGTAATAAACAACAATTACAAGTTAATTAAAAAAAACCTATATTTGGAATTGTTAAAAGTGGCATATTACTCAAGCCTGGATATAACAGTTTTACATGTGCCTGACAAAACGTCAGGCACTAATGAAATAGTACCTGACATTTTCAACTTGGTGCCAGACATGTATTAATAATATCAATAAAAAAAAATACAAATCAGTGCCAAGGACAAAATGACAGGCACCAGAGGTTTTGTGACTGACAAAGCCAAAATCTGTGCCTGACATTGTCTGTGACAGGTGCCTTATTTCCAGGCTTGCATATCACATATAGAGGGAACGGGGTAAATATATTTTAAAAGACTCATAATTTGTAATACTGAATAAAATTAAACCATTTTTTTAAACAGATATTCCCTTTAGAGGTTCAATTTTCACAATATTGTAGTCTTCAAGGCATTTAAAATCCCTTCAATTGTGTCAGTGGCTATTTATTAGGGTAGTTGTGGTCCGCAATTATATATACAATCTTAAATGCCTTCAAAAACACTAAACCATTGTGTATTTTTACGAAAATTTGATGGCCCAAAATATTTGTGAGTTTTGAAGAGCATCAGTAAGCTTGTAAATCTACCACTATTTACACTGAAATTAGTATAAGTTTATTTTTTAAGATATGAATTAGGAAGCTTTTTTCTCAAGGTATAACTTCATTGATGGTAAATATGATGTCATAAATATTTTATTATCAGAGTTAAATTGTCTTCAGGCATTATATGTCTTTATATCTAGTTGATAACTTGTAATGTCCGCCAAAACTACCGTGAAATTTGTTTTATCAAATAAAATCTATGCCTTGTAAAACAATAATTAGTTGATACACTGTATTACACGCCTTTACAGTCTTATTTTTATCATATTAAATAATCAGGGGTGATATAAGTCCTCGAGCTATCGAGAAATCGGTCATCTGAGCAATAGTTTAAGTTCTTTTCAGATGATTAACTGTACTTTATTGTCTAGACTCAAAAAGTTGGTGAATTTGATTGGCAGAAATTCATGAATTAAATGTGAATTACGTACAGTACTTAAAGATACATTATGGGAGATTAGATAAAGAGCTAACAGTTCTCACTATAACTGTTAAAAACTAGATAATGTGAAGGGAATTTGCTGAAAATTTCAGTCAAATTGGTCCATTTTGAACCGAGATTCTGAATTTTCGGCCTATCCTCGATCATCATTACTGAAGTCAGTACGATAAAAAAACATAGTCTTGATTATATATTTCATAATTAAATTATGAATGGAAGTCGAACAGCAAATCGGAACCTAATCCAATAAATATCGCAGGCTAGCGATGCCATCGAGAGTTGATTATCGTCTGGATAGGTTAATTAATGTCTAATTAATAATTTAGATAACATTTCAGGCCTGCAATAGGCAGATTTAGCTCTTGCATAATGTATGTTTAATATGTGATCATCAAATTAAATATTGTATTTTTGGCTTAATGGGCATACACAGGGGGAGAAGGAACTTGTGTCCTATTGTCATAAACACCTCTTCCCTTACGGTACTCTGCAAAAGAAAAAACAATTTTCATCTCCCACTCCAAAATAATTTGTAAGAAATTGATTTTGTAAGTGGCATTTAGTAACTGAATGAGAATAACACATGATACAATTATATGCTTGATAAAGACGGGAGAACCCTTGTTGAAAGGTCGGTGAAATAAACTCTTCAAGTAACTTGTATTCCATGTATAATTGTGTCATGTGTTATAATTTATAAGAAGACAACAGGATTGATATCAAGTTATTCAGTGTTCAATTATTTTTCTAACATCATTTTATGATGATAAACATTCATAAATTGGTACCAGTTACCATTTGGAGACTCCAAAAAAGAATTGTAGGAGATCATCAAATTCTAATGAGAGCTTCTATTTCTTTCATTTATAACTTCATGTGTGTATTAAAAGAGAAGAAAGAAATAAAAAAAATATAATTGATATTGTGTCACAATCTTTTTGATCACTTTCTAAACATCACAACGTATTCACAGACGAATCAATCATACAGTCTTTAATAAAATAATTGATATTATTTGTTAATATTATATAACTTTAAACATTAATCACTTATTTAAAAGGGAATATAAGCTTTATATGTAACCATCACACATTTATGTCAATTGATTATATCGATAAACATCAATTTAATTGTATGAATATTATTAGAATTATTAGTTACAGCCTAAATAATGTACGTTAACTCTTTTGATTTTATGAATAGACGTTGCCTGGGGTAATTACATCTGTTAAAAACTTAACTCCAGTGTAAATATTGCCTCATTTGACTGTGTCCTTTTGACGAAAAGAAATATTTTTTTCAAAATAAAGGTAATATTTTTGAGTGTACTTATTCAACACTATACCCACTTCTGTCTATGCAATGATATGAATTGCTGTGTCACACCTAATAGGTAAATGAAATGAAATGAAATGGGGTTTAACGTCCTACTGTTCTGCACCGACTGGGATAATGGAGATGGGCATAGGCCATACAGTGTGCTATGAGGGAAATTTTGCCCAGGCAGCAGCATTAGGGCCTACTCTTATGTTCTTATAATAGTATAATAATATGTTACTATTATCTTTTTAACAGTGTTAGATATCCATGTATTAAAAAAAGTATACTGATATGTTACTACTACCTTTTAACTTCTATGTCCTTTTTACTAAAATTATTCACCATATATTTTGGTGCAATATAGCCCGGTTAGAGCTGACCTACCCTAAAACCCTATTTCATTCATTCATTCCTCTTTACTAAAACAATATCCAAGACTAAAACTAGGACAGTATATCATTCAAATAATTTCTCAATATTTAAGTTTGATATCCACTTGACAAAATATATCCAAGAGTAACTCTAGACATTAAGATCATTTACTTGGACAGGCGACCCTACTCCTTGTTACGTACAACCGGGGAATCGAAACTCTGCCAGTTGACTCAATGACAGACCGTATGATACAGACTGCACGTATTAACCATTCGGCCATCCAACCCTCCTACTTCTTGAATAATAAGCCATAGATGATGATCTGATAAGATTTAATTTTAATATCCACTTCAAACAAATGATACCCACAACTAACTGTTTCATGAATGATATCCAAGACTTACAGTGGGAGAATGGTCTATCAATTACTTGTTGAGAAATTCAAATAAATAATTCCATAATATATAAGTTTTGTATTTTATCCACTTGACAAATAAAATCCAAGACTAACTCTAGATAATATATCACATAAATAACCTCGTAACATTTATATTTTGTATCCACTTGACAAAAATGACATGAAGACAAACTGTACACAATATGTCATTTACTTGTTGAGAAATTCACATAAATAACCTCATAATGTTTAGGATATCCGCTTAACAAAAATGATAATATGCAAGATAGACTCTACACAGTGTCATTAACCCATTAAACATCACCTGAGTATTTTAAAAGACGAAAATGATAATGTGCAAGACAATAAACTCTACGCAATGTCATTTTACCTATTACCTGTTGTAATCTGATATTCAGGTTAACAATTGCCAATGAATAAATAAAACACCTGAGTATTATTGAAGAAAAAAAATGAACTAAATATTACCTGTTCTAAAATTGATATTCAGGTTACCAGTTGCCAATGAATAAATATATCCTATAGATTGTTTAAAGTTTTGACTTCTTAAATCCTGTGACTGGTCAAATGACAAGAAAGCTTGGAGTGTTGTCAGTATACACTCTCTGTCTTCTGTGACACTCACTCAACTATAATATATAGCAACCAGCAAAGACACCTCAATGCCACTCAGTTGCCGTTCAAGCACGAAGCTATTTTAAGATCCGAAACCTGTTTTATTGTATGGTTGGATATAATTGTATGAGATAGGTTTTTTGTTCCGCTTGGTGTAACTTGATAAGAAAGGGACTAGGATTTACTAATGTGCTGTATATAGGATACAATAGTCTATGGCCCCACCTACAGGTAAAACTATACATTCATCAAGTGTACTGTGGATATGATTTATTAAGTGTCCTATCACTACACCCGCCACAACATTCTTCCGTTATACCACAACTGTGGAAGCGGACATTAAATAAAACAGGATTTAACTTCTTACTTTTCTTTTGCAATCTGATTAAAACACAGGGCCCTTATTCACGAAAACTTAAACTAAGATACAATCGAAATTTTAAGAAATACTGCAATTCGATTGGCTGACCAATATGCAAATTGGATATATGCAAATTGATTTTACTGGTCAGCCAATCGAATTGCAGTATTTCTTAAAATTTTGATTGTATCTTAGTTTAAGTTTTCGTGAATAAGGGCCCTAATCTTATTTCAGTTAATTTTTTTATAGTTCAAAATTTCATTTTACTTGCTTTCACAACACACTATGATCTGGAAGATTTGTTAAATAACCCGCGTTCTGGTTGAAGTGAGGGATTAGCCAATGAAAAGTTCGGTTGCGGGTATCCCAGTAGAAACATCAACACTGATTGGTTAATCAAAAGTCTGATGTCATAGGGTCATATTGATTTAAATTGACAAATAATTTGTGTTTAAATGTCGAAGACTGTGGATGATATTGAGTTAGTCTTTGTTACTTTAAATTAAAGTTCTCTACATACCATCATAGTTCATCACTTACGATAAAGGTCCCTACTTACAATAAAGATTAACACTTACCATATAAAAATCAACACTTACCATAAAGTTCCGTACTTGCCATAGAGTTTTCAAGATCAATACTTACCATAAAGTTCACCATATACCATAACGTTCCACACATGCCATATAGATCAACACTTGTCATAAAGTTCACCATATACTATAAAGATCAACACTTACCGTAAAGATCAACACTTGCCCTAAAATTACCCTTAAGATCAACACTTACCCGAAAGGTTTTATACTGTGCCATATAAGTCTACCTATCAGTAATTGTCGGTAGGTACATAAAATAGTGCAAGAATATGGCAGCGAAATGACCTCACAAGTGCTTGACAAAAATTACTTTACCTTTTTAAAGTTCACCTTTATGAATAACCATGCATCCTTGTCATGAGCATCATTTAACCACTGTACTTAACAAACCACAGTTTCACTTTTCTAATCCAATGCTAATAAGAATGCTTTATGAGCCAAACTAGTTGAAATGTCAGAAGCAATTTATAATGTTTACTCCTCTCCATTATAAATGAAAGTAGATATTAAATTATGACATATTGCCGTGTTGTTGTTGCCATGACAATAAGTGAATATATAAAATCAATCAGTGGTGAATATCAACGGTGTTTATTGATCCCTGGGTAATTACGATGTGTTGAATAATACGACTATTGATTTGATTTATAAGGATTAAACACTCGTTCTGTTGACATATTTCATCATGTTGTTTTCTTTGTGTGTCACTTAGCTGAATGCTAAATGATAAGGCCAGCTCAATTTTTCGTCATAGGTCAAGAGATTTAAACAGGGCTAGCACTAATCCCGACCTCAACCTTAACCCTGGACCTAGCCCCAATGGTTATCCTAACCCTAAGCTACAATCTCGCCAACAATCACATTCCCTAACCTCATTTACATCTCGGCAACCTTGACAAAAATTGAGCTGGCCTTAATAAATAGATTTAGCCCTGTTGAGTTACTGTAGGTGTATTTCTGGGTAATGATCTGTCAAGTTTCTGGTCCCGATTTCACAAAGCATTCTCAGACTTAAGTTGAGAATTTACTCAAAATTGTTTACCTTAATTTAACTAAAATATAACCCGTTATAAAACTTTTGTTGTTTTGATTTATTAAATACATCAATAAGAAACTATGTGCAAAGTTTTGTGTTTCTGGATCAAAGATATTTCTCATAAACAGAGATTGGAAGTTGAGTAAATTCTTAACTTAAGTCTGAGAATGCTTTGTAAAATCGGGGCCTGATCTTACCGGTACTTACTATTGTTACATGGGAGTGGTTGGCCGAATGGTTTAAAGTGTGTGCGTTAGATTATAAGGTCCGTCATTAAGCCAAGTGACACTCAAATATATGTTTAGGAGAGAGTGAGGGAGAAATGGGGTTTAATGTCCCCTCAACACAAACTAGGTCATTTCGGGACAAGCACATGGTTCAATTTTATTTCAATAATTCGCTTGTGCTTATGTGTCTTTAGCAGTGGGAGGAAACCAGAGGTCCCTCAGAAAACCCACGAGATTGGACAGGCGACCCTACCCCTTGTCACGTACAACGGGAAAATCGAAACCACACCATTTGACTCAATGGCAGACCTTATGATAAAGTGTGCACATGCTAAAAATTTGGCCATCCAACCCCCCTGTATGTTTAGGAATTTTAGTTAAGTTTATGCAGCATTATGCTACACAGATTTGATTTATGGTGTATATTTTTATGTAGAATTGTCATAAATAGAAATTTTTACGACAATAACACCTGTAAAAAAAGTATACCTGGATGTAGTGGATACAGTGTAATTAAAATAACATAATATTTTCTTTCCATTTATTCGGATGCGGTCTCCATTAATCTTTAAAGTCATGTTTAAGAAAAGATATGTCTACTATTAATGGTTAAATTTGTCTAAAATTGACAAATTATGGGAAAATTTCCTTCATGGTTTCATTTGATCGTGAACTTTGATCTACCCCTGACATGATATATTAGAAATTCAGGAAATATTTCTTTTTAGTATTACCCCAGTTGCATTATGGCTTTGACATACATGTATATTATTCAATAAAAAAAAGTTTCTTACAAAACTGAATATGTTATGGTCTCACATTCTTGCTGTGTAAAGTGCTGATTCTAGGGCTCCATACCTGATAGTACTAATTAATGCTTTATAGCTTTGATGAGACTTGATTTCATTCCATAACCAATTCAAGAACGCCTCTAAAAAATAATGTATTTTTCAAAATGTATATTAATGCAGGTACATGTATATATAATAGGCTAAACTACATGGTACTAACTATATTTAAAAAGATAAAAAAGATTTAATGAACATAAAAAAAAGGTGTGGGGCGGTGGGCAAAGAAAGTATGCTGGCTATGTAAGAGATGGCACTCGCTTGAGCCTGCAGTGCATTGTCCCAAGGCATGAAACCATTCTTCCTATGGGGGTTGCAGGAATCAAATTACCCTCTAGAGGGGTAAGACAATTGTAGAGCGCCACCTAGAAGGCGTGGCTAAAGAGCCCACAACTTGATAAATTAAACTTAATTAAAACCTTAATTAACAATTTATAACTAACGTTTTGTATTAATTACAGAGGCAAGATCAGAGTCCTCTACCAATGGCTGTATCAGAAGTTTTATCAACAGAAAAAGGAACAACTTTTTATGTTTTAACTGTAGCCGGGAAACATGGAGTCCAGCCTGAACCTGTAACTCCATCTGAAGATGGTCGTCCCCCATCCCCACCTGAAAAACCTCAGAAGAATTATATCGCTAGTATAGATATTTCTAAAACTTTCATCAATGATGTCAAGAGACAGTAAGTCGATGGTTGTTTTTTTTTCGCTTCATTTTTATCATTGAAGAACCCTTGAAATAGATAAAGATGGGTTTTCTTTAATGATACTACTACTATTATTCGTCACACGAAACCTCTCTGAAAATGTAGGATGGCCGAATGGTTAGCATGTGCACGTTGTATCATAAGTTCTGTCATTGAGTCAACTGGCGTGGTTTCGATTCCCCGGTTATACGGGGGGGGGGGGGGGTGTTGGATGGCCAAATGGTTAGCACGTACAGTCGCCTGTCCAGTTATTGAATGGGGTGGAAAATTACTGTCCATCTGTGTACACATAATGTTGAAATTTTTTATGAAAGCTAGGCAAAATACACCTGGTACAGAAAAGTGATATGTTTATCCCCATTTCATTTCTGAAAATTCAGGCATCTTGAAGTATTAAAGAAACATTCTTAGATTTAGGCTTAAATATGTACAAATCACTCGTGTAATAATGGACACTTGTATTTTTCAGATTACGGGTCAATTTTTTGAATCATCTGGAGACATGGTTAGACCAGGCTTTTATTCGATCAAACAGTGTGGTAGTAGCTAAGGTTAGTCTCTTTTCTCATAAAATATTTAGCTAAAACAAAAGTAAATCTAGACTTATAAAAATGTTTTGATAGTTCTAGGTTGTAAGTTCTAAATTTGTATTATATAAAATCACTATAGCTCTAAATTTATATTAAATCACTATAGTTCTAAATTTATATTAAATAAAATCACTGTAGTTCTAAATTTAGTTCTAAATTTATATTAAATCACTATAGTTCTAAATTTATATTAAATCACTATGGTTCTAAATTTATATTAAATCACTATAGTTCTAAATTTATATTAAATCACTATAGTTCTAAATTTATATTAAATTACTATAGTTCTAAATTTATATTAAATCACTATAGTTCTAAATTTATATTAAATCACTATAGTTCTAAATTTATATTAAATAAAATCACTATAGTTCTAAATTTATATTAAATCACTATAGTTCTAAATTTATATTAAATCACTATAGTTCTAAATTTATATTAAATCACTATAGTTCTAAATTTATATTAAATCACTATAGTCTAAATTTATATTAAATAAAATCACTATAGTTCTAAATTTATATTAAATCACTATAGTTCTAAATTTGTATTAAATTTATATTAAATCACTATAGTTCTAAATTTATATTAAATCACTATAGTTCTAAATTTGTATTAAATTTATATTAAATCACTATAGTTCTAAATTTATATTAAATCACTATAGTTCTAAATTTATATTAAATCACTATAGCTCTAAATTTATATTAAATGATTGGTATTATATTTTGCAAAGGTTGTGGGAGACTTTAGTAGTTCTTTTCCTTTGATGATTTCATTGTTTTGATGATTATCAAGCCAGAAATGTTTATGTATTTGATACATTAGTTATTTAAAAAATGTTTATTTTATTTGTGAAATTTTAAATACTGCCTTTGAAAAGATAAAAATAGTATATCTCTAAATGTATTTTCGATATTTTAAAGTGTGAAGAATTAAATAGTGAACTTGATTTACGTCTTCATCTTCATCAACCACGATCTCGACGAGCGGAATTAGATATTCATAATGTCCGCGCAGGTAAGTCATCTCTACATCCTTCTCCCTTGGCACACCTGTGCTATGCATTAAGTACATGTAGGTAAAATGTGGTAGGTATGAGAGATGTAATAAAATCTAGTATAAATCTCCTGATTAGTTTTCTGAACTTCTCAACTGAGAAATCGTCAATGAACTGAAATTGGGTTTAATGTCCTACTGTTCTGCTTCGACAGGGCTAATGAAGACAGGTGTACACCATACAGTGTGCTATGAGTGAAATTTTGCCCAGACAGCGGCGCTATGGCCTACTCTTATATCAAATTCCAACTGCCAAGGGATCTTTTATGTGCACGCCAATGTATACACGGCACCTCGGTTTTTTGTCTCGTCAAACGACTATACATTGTTCCTTGCCAGGCCCTCGGTCCTGCACCAATGACAAGGAGGAACCACGCCAGAAAATCTTGATCAACTCAGACTTTGGTCTGGCTGAAATATTTGTTTCCAAATGATGTAAAAGATGGAATTTTGCATTTCAGCTGAATTGATGATGCATTCGGAGAGAGTAACACGTCATAGTAAGGGTATTCAACAATCATTGACAGATTTACGTACAAGATTCAGTGCTATGAGTCATGAACATAATAAACTAGCTACTAGATTTCGTGTAGATATTGAAGCTCTAGAAATAGTTTTTATTAACGCAACCAAATCATCCAGGTTAGTAACTGTTGGTAGTATGGTAGGTTATATTTTTTTTAACGCCATTTTGAAAATGTGTCCATCGCGACAGATTTTAGTCGCACCAATCTTGTTGATCATTATATGCTGTACAGGACATCTTCTTTTAAAAAATAGAGGGGTTGGATGGTTGAATAGTTTAACGCATGCGCTTTTGATCATAAGACCTGCTATTGAGTCGGATGACATGGTTACGATCCCATGCTTGTACGTGACCATGCATAGGGTCGTCTGTCCAATCTTGTGTGTTTTCTCGGGCTCCCCCGGTTTCCTCCCACTGCTTAAAATCGCTATATACAAACGATTTATTGAAATAAAATTGAATCATATGTTGTTAGTCCTGAAACAACCTAGTTTGTGTCGAGTGAACATAATACCCCATTTCTCTCTCCCTCTTTGAGACAATTTGTAACAAAAGCACAAAGAAACTAGATAGAGTTTGAAGAATGTTTATTCCCCTTCAAAACGGATAAGAATTGGCAATGTCTTGAACATTTCAATTTTCCATAATATAATCTTATTGGAAATTGTCAAAGGTTCATTAGGTAAGATTAGATAAAGAGCTGACAGTTCTCGCTATATTAGTTAAAAAATAGATGATAAGAATAGAACATGCTGAAAATTTCAGTCAAATTGCTTCACTCTGAACCAAGATATACAATTTTAGGCTAGCCTCGAACATCATTACTAACTATTCATTTTTACGTTAAATTATCCATCACAAAATGTATTCAAATCCACTAAATATTGTAGGCCAAGGATGACATCAAGAGTTGATTATTACAGTCTGGATGTCTAATTAATATATATAAAGAAAGACCTGCAATAGACAGATTTAGCTCTTACATAATGCATCTTTAAGAACCAAATATGTATATATATAAATAATAAAAATGGTTGCTCCTTATAATTATGTTGGTTTTTTTTATTTTCTTTCAGGTTAATGGCGCTGCAGAATGAATTAAGTGTCAAGTTAGAGCAATTTATGTCAGTTATTCGAACATCACTTCGTCAGTTTCGTCAACATTTAGATAAAAATTTACAAATGTTGAGAGAATCAAACGCCAGATTTATTAAATCTTTCAAGTAAGTTGATGTGGTTATAACCTTTACACAATCTTATGTTGGCATCTATACTAATATTTGTGACTGTCGTTTGTCTGTCTGTCTGTTCATGGTTGGTGGCTGTACTAGGGCTGTCCCGATGCTGAAGTTTGGTATATAGTGGTAGCTTGGACCAGGGAGTAACATAGGCTAGGTGACGTTGGCCTTGTTTCGAAGTTACGGACACAACCCAGGCAGCGTCGGGTTATCTGCTAGTGCATTGACTATTCTTTTGTTATAAGATTAGAGCCGCAGTGCCAGGAGATCCCGATTTCAATCCCTTGATGTCACTTGGAAAGTTCCCCAGCATTTTCCAGCCTGGTTTCCGCTTGTCAATGGTGATGAACAAAGGGTCTGGCAAGGAACAACATATCAGTGTTCAGATTGGATGATAAAAACAATGTTCCGTGTATATGATGACACACACATAAAAAAAATTTGATCATTTGTGGTTTCGATGGAGAGTAGATAAAAATACCACTGTCCAGGCAAACTCTCGCTCATAGCAGACTGTGTGTGTCAGGTGTTGCATTGGCGGAGAAAGTTCATTGGGATTTTCCGGCGTGGTTTCCCCTTGTCAGTGGTGCAGGAATGAGGACCTAACAAGGACAGCTGTCTAGTCATTCGGACGGAGCAAAAACCTGAGGTCCTGTGTATACATTGGCATGTAAAAGATTCCTTGGCAGTTGGAATTCGAAATAAGAGTAGGCTATAGTGCCACTGCCTGGGCAAAATTTCCCTCATAGCACACCGTATTGTATATGCCCATCTTCATTAGCCCAGTGGGAACAGAACAGTAGGACGTTAAACCCCATTTCATTTTATTTCGTTGCATGTGCCCGTTTTCATAAACCAGTTGGGGTAGTATATATAGAATCATACAACATTTAACACTATTTTATTTCATTTCATTAACCCGTTAACTGCGTATAGCGTTATATAACGTCCTGGACAACTGCCACTCACCGTGTGTAGGGCGTAATATAACGCCTTGGAGGTATTTTCCCCAACCTATTCTTCGAACACGATCGCAGCATGTGTAGGACGTTATATTACACCCGGTCGAGGAAATCTAATTGAAGGGAGACAACTCTATTTACCATTAGTTTTAATATGGTTTTAGACTACTAAAATTTGTATTCAGGAATAAAAAGGTCCAAAAATGACGTTTTTCGTCAAATTAATTACACAATAGGGGGTAGTTAACATTTTAAAAACTACGCAGTTAAGGGGTTAACAAGATTGTTGTACAATAGTGCTTCACTATAGTGTTGGGTCCTTATTCACAATAACTGAAACTAAACTATTTTAAGTGTTCATCCATTTCATTGGCCAAGAACAAAAATCTGGACTACTATTATAACCCTCAACCAATGAAATGCCTGTATCCTTAAAATATGTTCATGAATTACGGAGTTACCCATCACAAGTGGTAAGGGTTTCTAACCCTATCGCTGACCCAGAATTTCAATAAATGGATTTTCTGTATGTATGGAAATGGAACTTCCTAAGCAATCTGGAGTCTTATTCACGAAATCTTAAACTGAAATAATTAAAAAGAAACAGCCCTTTTCATTGGCCAAAGTCTAAAAAATGTACTTGGTGGAGGTCCTATAATCCATGGGGTAATGGCCACTAGCTGACTCCCCTGCAAGATTATTTATGATATGGTATTCTTGGCTAATAAATAATAAAATAATACTATGTCCATTTATAAAGCGCTATATCCACAACTTTCCAAATGATTAAGATGCTTTTAATTTTATCTCAGAATGTTCTCGGATGGAGGTAATTTTTGTCCAGATGAGATTGAAGAGTATAGAAAGAAGTTAGAAAAGATGTCACAGAAGATCGACCAGGTGGAAGGATCAATAATGTCTGATTTGGAAGGAATGGAATCAAAACGATTGGAACAGGGAACAAAGGTTGCCAATGAATTTGAAGACAGGTGCAATATAAGAAATATATTTTACTTTTAGGAATTTAATCTAATTACATATATATATTAAATGATTCCTTTGTTGTGAAAACAAGTCTGCATGAATCTATTTCATTTAGAAAGATTCTCGATCCCCTGTTGGTGAGTGGAGTTGTGTGACCTAATGGTTAACGTCTGTCATTGAGACAAGTAGCGTGATTTTGATTCCCCACTTGTACGTGACAAGGAGTAGGGTCGCCTGTCGTGGGTTTTTCTCCAGGTCCTCCGGTTTCCTCCCACTGCTAAAAACTCCTACATACAAGCGAATTAATGAAATGAAATTGAACCATATGTTAAGTCCCGAAATGACCTGGTTTAACCCATTTCTCTCTCTCACTCTCCCATGTCTGTATGAGAGAAGGACTTGGGTTGACTGCTGAATACACTATATGTTAGTCCCAAAATAAACTAGTTTGTATTAAGCAGACAATAAACCCCATTTCTTCTCTCTTCTAACTCAAGACTGAAATGACAAAAGGTGAGAGTGAAAATATTATATTTAATTATTTTTCTTTAGGTTTAAAAGTCATATGTTTGATCTGACCTTTATGGAGAAAATAGCCAGATGGCTGACTAACACCCAGGTTAAAATAAAAGCAGAAGTAGCTGAAAGTAATTCTCAAGCTCAGAAATTGAGTCAATTTTTACAGAGGTTGGAACGCAGAATAGATGCTTGTGAAAATCCCAATCCAGATAAAGAGGTAAGAATGATTTATTTTAAAATGCGAACCCCCAATAATAATATGTTAAAACATATTTCTTGGCAATTTCAAACTGGTCATGTATGTATACCATTGGTTGCACTCCCTACATTGGTCGAGAAAGTTCATCAGGATTTTCCGGCGTGATTCCCTCTTGTCAGTGATGGAGGACAGGGTCGAGCAAGGGACAGTGTGTAGTCATTCAGATGGGATGAAAAATCTGAGGCCCTGTGTACACATTGGCATGCACGCACGTAAAAGGTCCCCTGACAGTTGGAATTCAATATAATAGTAAGCTGTAGCGCCGCCTTCTGGGCAAAATTTCCCTCATAGCACACTGTATTGTGTATGCCCATCTTCATTAGCCCAGTTGGAGCAGAACTGTAGGACTTCGAACCCCATTTCATTTCATTAATTTCATTGGTAGCATATTAAAGATCCCCTGACGTTTGGAAATTTAAATAATTAAAAGTAGTACATGCCTGTCTTCATTAGCCCGGTTCGTGTAGAACGTTAAACTCCATTTCATTTAATCACACACCTATAAAACATGACACAAGTATATGGAATAAAAGCTGTATGTTTATACACAATATCGACTTAAACCCCTAGAATACCATATCGTCGGTGAAGTTCAAAAGGGTGTATCTAAGAATTTCTAAAGATTAAGAAATAGAACCTTTTGCATTTCAAAATTTCCACAAATCAAGATACAACATTTGGACACATAAAACCCAGAACAGTTCTAATTGGCGTAGAGATACACAGCTTAGACAGAAATGTGCATATTAATTGGGAGATTTTAAAAAGTGTATTTGACTAATTTCCCGTGATACACCCATTTGACACTTCACCGACGATATGTGACATACAAGTTAGTTGGATGTTTATTTCTGGTGAGGTGGGTAAGACGCTGGCTCGCTAGCCTGAAGGTCGGGTGTTCGATCCCTGCATTGGCCGAGAAAGTTCATCCAGATTTTCCGGCGTGGTTCCCCATTGTCAGTGATGCAGGACGGAGGGCTTGACAAGGACAGCTGTACACATTGGCATGCACGTAAAAGATCCCTTGACAGTTGGTAATCAATATAAGAGTAGGCCATAGTGCCGCTGTCCGGGCAAAATTTCCCTCATAGTACACTGTATAGCGTATGCCCATCTTTTTTAGCCCAGTTCTGAGCAAAATAGTAGGACGTTAAACCCCATTTCATTTCATTTATTTCTGGTGACATTTTGACGATGGTTCTCCCATCTTTATGAAGCAGTAACTTATATTCCATATAATAATTAGGTCCATGTTTTATTCTGATTCGGGGGGTTGGATGGCTGAATGGTGAGCGTGCGCGCGTTGTATCATAAAGTCTGTCATTGAGTCGACTGGCGTGGTTTCGAATCCCCGGTTGTACGTGGCAAGGAGTAGGGTCGCCTGTCCAACCTCGTGGGTTTTCTCTGGGGCCTCCGGTTTCCTCCCACTGCTAAAGACCCCTACGCGCAAGCAAATTATATAAATAAAATTTAACCATATGTTAGTCCCGAAATGACCTAGTTTGTGTCGAGTGGACGTTTACTCAATGGCATTTAATCAAGCTATATGAAAAATGTATTTTGATTGCAGCAAATCACTTCTGATGAACTATACAAGAGTTTACCTGAAGTATTTGAAGCTGTGGCTGAAAGAACAGAATATTTAAACTGTGTTAAAGGTCAGGCATTAAGTGCACCACGCCCTTCATCAGGTTCCATATTACAGGGCAACCCAATTGCAGGTGAGTCATTGAACAGACCAATATTGATCATTGTTTTATCAGGTGAAGGGTGGTGGTCGTGGGGAGTGGCACCTTCTCACAGATAGCTTATAACTATAATAGGAAAAGCTTATTCTTCTGGGGGCGTCACAGTGGCTAAGTGGGTAAGATGCTGGCTTGCTATCCTGAAGGTCGGTGTTTGATCCCTGCATTTGCCGAGAAAGTTCATCCAGATTTTCTGGTGTGGTTCCCACTTGTCAGTGATGCAGGACAGAGGGCCTGACAAGGACAGCTGTCTAGTCGTTCAGATGGTATAAAAAAAAAAGGTCCTGTGTACACATTGGCATGCACATAAAAGATCCCTTGACAGTTGGAATTCGATACAAGAGTATGCCATAGTGCCACTGTCCAGGCAAAATTTCCCGCATAGCACACTGTATGGCGTATGCACGTCTTCATTAACCCAGTTCAGAGCAGAATAGTAGGACGTTAAACCCCATTTCATTTCTTATTCTTCTGCGAAGAATGAAATTATGGAGGGGTGTTTAAATGTGCTTTGTCCCTATTTTATTTACAGATTTCATATCTGTTGGGTTTATATCTGATGTGAGACCTCTGTAATATTATGATATACATGTATCTATGTTTTATGTTGGGTTAATATCCGATTTAACACCTGTGTAATATTGTGATATATCTATGTTTTAGCTGCACGAGTTGGGTTTATATCTGATGTTACACCAGTAAGTAAAGCCGGTAAACAGCCAACAGAAGATCCTTCAGTAGGAGTTATTAAAAGCATTCTGAAGTAAGTACCATATTTATAGATGTTAAAAGTTGAGCATACAAAATGGCAGTTACACAAGAATTCTGTCAGGACTGTGTTGGTCGTAAAATGACCGAAGATCTTAAACCCCATTCCATGGGGGGGGGGGGATGACCGAATGGTTAGCATGTGCGCGCTGCATCATAAGGTCTCTCATTGAGTCAACTGGCGTGGTTTTTTAGCAGGACGTTAAACGCCATTTCATTTCATTACATGTTTTTTTTATTTTTAGAGGAATACCTAGTAAAAGTAAAATAGGATTGGAGTTCGATTATGATGATGATGTACAACCACAACTCGGTAAATATTTTATCTTTTGTTGTTAGGAGTTAGTGTATCATGTCACTGATGTCATTTGAGGTACATTGGGATATTCCGACGTGGTTTCACCTTGTCCGTGGTGCAGGAAGAACAAGGGCAGCTGTCTAATCATTCGGATGGAACGTAAAACCAAGGTCCTGTGTATACATTGGCGTGCACGTAAACGATCCCTTGGCGTTGGAATTCGATATAAGAGTAGGCCATAGTGCCACTGCCCGGGCAAAATGTCCCTTGGCAGTTGGAATTTGATATAAGGGTAGGCCAGAGTGCCGCTGCCCGAGCAAAGTTTCCCTCATAGCACAATGTATGGTGTATGCCCGTCTTATTAGCCCAGTTATTGCCCGGGCAAAATATCCCTCATAGCACACTAAAGACCCCTACGCACAAGCAAATTATTGAAATAAAATTGAATCATATGTTAGTCCCAAAATGACCTAGTTTATGTCGAGTGAATGTAAAACTCTCTCTCTCTCTCTCTCTCTCTCTCGCTCTCTCTCTCTCTCCCTCTGTAGAAGTAACACCTCTGTGCCAACTGGGTTGGTTATAAGAGGGGCCTAATTCACAAAAAGTTAAACTAAACTAATTTAAGGTTGCAAGCATTTTATTTGACTCATCTCTAATATCCTAATACAAATTTTAGCTCTTGGCCAATGAAAGAACTGAATTTTTAAAAAAAATTCCAGTTTAAGTTTTCATGAACAAGGCCCCAGATTTTAAAACTACAATTGTCAATCTGTTTTAGGTGCATCTACCACTCAAGCAACAACACCAGGTTTACCCCCTGACAGTCGTGAAAAACTCAAGTCAGCCATGTCTCAGAGTTCAGGTAAAGGTAGCATCTCATCTGATAAAAGTAAACCAGTCAGTCGTAGAAGTCAGATGATATCAGTAGATTCCGGTCAACAAAAACGTCTCGGATCTGCAGCTGCGTAAGTTTTTATTTTGTTATTTTAGGCGGGGCTGGGGGGGGGGGGGAGGCGGGGGTCAGTTGAACAGAACCAGGAGTTAAATTCTGGATTTTGGGATCTGCAGCTCCGTAATTTTTTTTTTTTTTGTGGGGGGGGGGGGGGGGGGGGAAGGCGAGGGTCAGTTGAATGGAACCAGGAATTAATTCTGGATTTTGGTGAATATATTTTTCGTTTACTTGGTAAATCTGCAGATTAACTTGTTGCTACGTTGGTGATGGTTTGACTAATTTTTATACTGACCAATCTCAATTAAAAAGGGGGGGTTGGATGGCTGAATGGTTAGCGTGCGCGCGCTGTATCATAAAGTCTGTCATTGAGTCGACTGGCGTGGTTTCGAATCCCCGGTTGTACGTGACAAGGAGTAGGGTCGCCTGTCCAACCTTGTGGGTTTTCTCCAGGTCCTCCGGTTTCCTCCCACTGCTAAAGACCCCTACGCGCAAGCGAATTATGGAAATAAAATTAAACCATATGTTAGTCCCGAAATGACCTAGTTTGTGTCAAGTGGACGTTAAACCCCATTTCTCTCTCTCTATTAAAAACAAAATCTGATATATTAGGTGTGGTCTATTTTCAGACTAATTTGTAGGAGTTTCCTAATTGCTCATACGGCCTAAAAAAAGAATATTGTTAAATGTAAAGCAAGCATTCTGGACAGCCTAGCAGTTGGAATGATCTGGGCTATATTATTATTATTACACATTTCTATAGCACAGAACTGGGGGGGGGGGGGGGTTGGATGGCTGAATGGTTCAGCATATGCGCGCTGTATCATAAGTTATTCAATCATTTTTGTTTTATTTCACTTTTTTGGCATGTTTGTTATTTTCTTGTTTTTCTTTCTTCTTTGTCTTTCTTTTCTTTCTCCTACTAAAAACTTGAAGCCTTGTACCTTTTGAAAAAAAACAACATGTGCTTCATCTACCTAAAATATCAGAGAATCCAACAGAAAGCAGCAGTGCAACCAACATAAATCCTATGTATGTTACTTTTATTTTAAAGGCCCCATTTTTGTTGTGAGATCATACATAAAATCATCTGTTGTGAACACATGAAATCATTTTTTCTCAGAACATTATACATAAATCATCTGTTTTGAGAACATACTTAAAATCATCTGTTGTGAAGACATAAATTCATTTGTTGATAGAGCACACAAAATCATCTGTTGAGAACACATACATAAAATCATCTGTTTTGAGAACATACATAAAATCAACTGTTTTGAGAACATACATAAAATCATCTGTTTTGAGAACATACATAAAATCATCTGTTGATGGAGAAGATAATCATCTGTTGAGAGAACACATAAAATCATCTGTTGGGAACATATGAAATCACATAAAATCATTTCTTCATAGAGCACACAAAATCATCTGTCACACCAAATTTAATATATATCTCTTGATTCAATTCATTTACTTTGTAATAACTGTATACATTATATACTATTAGCTTTCTTTGTAATAACTGTATACATTATATACTATTAGCTTTCTTTGTAATAACTGTATACATTATATACTATTATCTTTCTTTCAAACTTTTCTTCTCTTTCTTTTTCTCTCACTCTATGCTTTTATTTTCTGTCTGCTATGAAGAAAACCGAAAGATTTGTGGTTAGTTTCCAGATGGACTACCATGTTTCGTAGGTAATACATTGACATACTTATTATTATTATTATTATTATTACATTTATATAGCGCAGATTCCACTATAAAGTGTTCGAATGCGCTTAACAATAATGGTATAAAATCATACAAAAAGAAATAAAATCATATAAATAAAACTATAATGGATAAAATTATTCAAAAATAAGTTGTTTATAAAAATTATGGAACCTCTATAAAATTATAAAACATAGATAAATTATGTAAAAGCTTGTACAAATAGGTGAGTTTTAAGAAGTGATTTAAAAGTTGGTAAGGTGTGACACCTGCGTATATTAATCGGAAGTCCATTCCAGAGCAGTGGGGCTTGGTACGAGAATGATCTTTCTCCATATGTCGATAGTCTCGCAGTTCGACGTTTAAGGAGATAGTCACTTGATGAACGTAGACTTCGTGATGGTGAGTACCATTCTACTAGTTCACACAAATACGCAGGTGCCATTCCATTTAAACATTTAAAAGTTAAGGGTAAAATCTTAAAACGGATTCTATAAATAATTGGCAGCCAGTGTAAGGTGTAGAAAATGGGTGTAACATGTTCATTCAGTTTTGTTATGGTAACCAGTCTAGCAGCTGAATTCTGGACTTTTTGTAGTTTATGCAATAGGTGACAAGGAAGACCAACTAAAAGAGAGTTAAGATTGTCAAGACGAGATGTAACCAGAGCATGCACTAAAGATTTCGTTGCTTCGTCCGAAATATATTTACGTATTAGGCCAATACTTATATCTACCCAAACTAAACTAGGCATGTTAGCTCTAGCCCTGAGTTCGCAAAGCATTAAGGCAGGACACTACCTTATAAAACACTCTGTATAGATTGATCTGTCAAATTTTGATATCAGCTAAAATTGCCCAAAATAGTTAAAATTTGTTGATTTTTCAAGTCGTGTCCAGCCTTTATATTATATAGTGTTAAATATTTAGTCATTTGTATAGGTAAATCAAATTTTTAACTTTTAACTTGCTTTTTTCCGTACTCAATTTTTCACCCATATCAGGTCTTAGAAAATCAAATTCTCAAAATCTATGAGAGATAATGGTCTCATCTTTGGAATTACGATTAGTGCTATAGCTGCTGTTTGCAATAAGGTGATTTTCAAAGTGTTTGTTATACATTTGGACATTTTATTGTACAAAATCCTTTTAGTTGTGTGTTCGACCACACCCACTTGTTTTATGTGGGATGCATAATGTTCTTTATTAACATTCAAATAGTAAAATTTATGCCTTATTGCACTCTTTAATGCCTATATATGTTATTCCAAATCACAAATAGTTTGTTTCAATAAACAATGAAGATTTTGATTTCCTAACATAGCCACCGTGAATATATAAAAAAATCCAATATGGCCACCATTTCCATGACAACAAATAAACATTTTGCGCTCAAATTATCAAATCTGATTTGGGACATCATATACTAATATTACACTAAATGGCAAGTTTCTGTTATCAATGTAAAATTCTTAGGTAGTGTCCTGCCTTAAGAATTTACTCAAGATTGTTTGCTTATTTTAACTGAAATATAGCCCTTTATTAAACTTTTGTTGTTTTAATGTATCAAATACATCAATAAGAAACTATGTGCAAAGCATTATGTTTGTGGATCAAAGTTAATTCTTATAAACAGTGATTGAGAGTTGAGTATATTCTTAACTTAAAGGAGCTAAATCGCTAACATTTGGGACCTAGAAATTGACAAAAGTAGGTCGCAACACATATAATACTGTAGTATGAATGTATATAAACTGATTTAGACTCAATCGTTTTTGTTTTTACTCCAATTTCAAATCAGTTATATTCGGCGAAATAAGCCAGCAGTCTCAAGCGAGTGCAAATTTCTAGCGTCTGGTTATTCCACTCTACATACGCCGTTTGATTTGGTGCAATGTGTCTAGCCTCGTCCTTCGAGTCTCTTGATACAACTGGGGCTGAAGCGCATTATGGTACACGATTCGTGTACCAATGGTAAAATGTTTATTTTGTCTTAAATATTGGATATCAAAAGCCCATCTTTTTCCGGTAAAGATCACAACATGAATGTTGATTTAATTTGACAAATAAATCGTGTTTTCAATGTTGAAGATTTTGGATGATATTGAGTTAGAGACTTAGCTACTTTAAGTCTGAGAATGCTTTGTGAACTTGGGGCCTGGTTGTTACAGACATCACACAAACAATAGGAATCCTCATCAAGTGACTCATCTCGTTTCTTCGTCAATATTAGGGTCGCCTGTCCAACCTCGTGGGTTTTCTCCGGGTCCTCCGGTTTCCTCCCACTGCTAAAGACCCCTACGCGCAAGCACATTATGTAAATAAAACTAAACCATATGTTAGTCCCGAAATGACCTAGTTTGTGTCTAGTGGACGTTAAACCCCATTTCTCTCTCTCTCTTTCTCTGTCAATATTCCATCTTTTGTACTTTTATTTGCAACACAATCCACCACCAAATTGATGATGTCCTTGCTTCTGATCATAAGTAGTGCTCGTCCACAAAAACACATTTGGAACTAATTTGCAGCAAGTCTTAATATATTTTTTTACGCACATTGGTGTTATGAAGCTTTATGTAGACCGACAGTGGTGGATCCAGGTAGGGGGCCCAGGGGGGACGGCTCCCCCTATATAACAATATAAAAAATTCACTTATTAATCTATTTCTATGAAATGTGTAAATTTGAGCTTTTTGTTGGATGCAGTACAGTGAGAGATTCACTGAAGAAATTAAATGTTATTCTCAGTTCCAGATATGCACCATAATGACCCAATCTAATTAAAATCTATATTTCGTTTTTTATACTTTCGATGGCCTACACTACATGTAGATCTAACAAGTTATAGTGGGAGTTCATGTTCTATGACGTCCGGTACCAAGCAAGCGACATTTGACCCGATTACATCAGTCATTCAATTAACCAATTAGCGACTGCCGTGTATTTTTTTATCTACTTTTACTTTGTTTTGATTTCTATTGCTGCTAATGTCTACCCGCAGTTCCGCACAAAAAAGGTCAAAGGCTCGATTTGACAGACCTTTTGATTGGCTGACCCCTCATTTCAAGCAGAACACGAGTTAAATAACAACGCTTCCAGATCCAAGTGTAGTAAAGACAAGTAAAATCAAAATTTTGAACTATAAAACGAAACGAAATTGGATCTGTGTTTTAATCAGATTGCATAATGACCATTAACATCACATTTTTTAAAAAATTTATCGGAGGGTATTGTCTTTTATTGGGCTGATAGTTAAATACCTCTCATTGATCTGAACTCTCAGACAATGGTCTTGCCCATAGCTAGCGGAGGGACAAAGGGGGCATCCCATCCAATAGTCAGGTCCGTAGCTATTTTTTTTGGGTGGGGGGGGCAGGGCAGCCCAACCAATGGTCAGGCCTGTAGCTAGTGGGGGCCAAGGGGGCAGCCCAACCAATGGCCAGGCCTGTAGCTAGCGGGGGTGGCAGCCCAACCAATGTCACTTAGATTTATGGGGCGCCCATAATGATATTGGCACGTTGGTCATTGGCTTTGTATTGTGGCCAATGGAAAGGGCGCTGTTCGGCGCCCAGCGGGGGCAGCTGCAACACTTGCCCACCCCTCTGCTGCTAGCTACGGCCCTGCAGTATCCTAAGAAAATGATGTCGATGTGAAAATAGCCCCCACTGTTTATTAATCTTATATATGTTATACTTGCAGACGTAATCAGAAGGCCGTAAAGTTTGATAGAAAATATTTGGTTTTTGGTGACAGGGATGAAGATGTAGACTGTGAATATTTTACTGGAATTGTTCGTAAAATTTTACGTGATGCTTTAGATGGTCTTCTAACAACAGCTGATGTAAGTTTCTTTTACGTCTGCGGGGGTTGGATGGCCGAATGGTTAGAACGTGCGCGCTGTATCATAAGACCTGTCATTCCCTGGTTGTACAAGACAAGGAGTAGGGTCGCCTGTCCAACCTTGTGCCTTTTCTCCTTGTGCTATGGTTTCCTCCCACTGCTAAAGACCCCTACGCGCAAGCGAATTATTGAAATAAAATTGAACCACGTTAGTCCCGAAATGTGTTGAGTGGACGTTAAACCCTCTCTCTCTCTCTCTCTCTCTCTCTCTCTCTAAATCCAGATGTGGTTTGAATAAACGTACAGCTGGGGAATCAAAACCACGCCAGTTGACTCAATGACAGACCTTATGATTATACAACAGTCACATTTAACCATTCAACCATCTATCTCCCCCCTCCACTTTTTTTCTAAAAAGAGCGGAGCATTAAAATGTTTGATTAGTAAAATTTATAAATTTTAATGTTTTGTAATTTATACCTTCATTAAAAACTTTGTCTTTTTTCTAATAGAGTGGATCATTAAAGTTGCAATTGCAAATTTTCAAGTTATATTTTTAAAATGTATTAAAATAAAGCCTTAAGATAGATGGTATCCATAAACAGTCCTACTTTGTTAAAGATTAATCCTATAATTCACTTTGCCAGTTGAGAATTTGGCAAAAATATTATTTTTAATTTCAAATTCCAACGTTGGAAAATCGCTGCCCCATGTTGTCAATAGCAAAATAGGGGAGGTAATTGTGTTGTTATTTCCTGTGTCATAGATTTTTAAGGGTGGGAAATAATGCCCATGATCGTATAATAGTGATTTGATAACCTATTAAGCAAAAGACATAGAAATAATTATGTTTTGACTTTCTTAGAAAATTTGAAATTCCCGCTTTAAAATGTTTGAATAGTAAAAATTATAAATCTTTAGAAGATAATCAATCAGATTAAAATACAGACGCCTGGAGGTCGGAGGTCGGGTGTTTGATCCCTGCATTGGCCGAGAAAGTTCATCCAGATTTTCCGGCGTGGTTCTCCCTTGTCAGTGATGCAGGACAGAGGGCCTGACAAGGACAGCTGTCTAGTCGTTCGGATGGGACGAAAAACCGAGGTCCCGTGTACACATTGGCGTGCACGTAAAAGATCCCTTGACAGTTGGAATTCGATATAAGAGTAGGCCGTAGTGCTGCTGTCCGGGCAAAATTTTCCTCATAGCACACTGTTTGGCGTATGCCCGTCTTCATTACCCCAGTTCGGAGCAAAACAGTAGGACGTTAAACCCCATTTCATTTCATTTCATTTCTATTATTTTCATTTTTGTATACTTTTGATGGCCTCCACCTTGTGTAGTAAAGACAACTAAAAATAAAAATTTGAACTATAAAAAAACAACACTAAATAGAATCTATGTTTTGATCATATTGGAAGATACTGTATTGATGTGATCTTTCTTTTTCAGTTATTCTATAAAACTAAGGGAAATCGTCCTGTGACACGACCTCAAGCTCTACAAGAAAGTTTTGATGGTTGTGCAGATGCAGTTGTTCAGAAATTACAGTCGTATTTTAAACAATCTCTTGAATATCATAATGATTGTTTACAAGGTAATCATATATATATACAGCATCGGGGGGTTGGATGGCCGAATGGTTAGAGTGTGCACGTTGTATCGTAATGTCTGTCATTGAGTCAACTGGCATGGTTTCGTTTCCCCAGTTGTATGTGACAAGGAGTAGGGTCGTCTGTCCAACCTCGTGGGTTTTCTCCGGGTCCTCCGGTTTCCTCCCACTGCTAAAATCCCCTATACACAAGCTTATTATTGAAATGAAATAGAACCATATGTTAGTCCCGAAATGACAAAGTTTGTGTTGAGTGGACGTTAAACCCCATTTCTCTCCCTATATTTATATATAGAGCATCAAATTCATGGATTTTATTTTACCTGTATTAGCTGGACATGTCTTACACGAGTTGGCAAACGTCCAACTGGTGACCTAACTCTGGCCTCTATTAACCCCAACTAAAAATGTCTGACAAACAGGTTTTGAAACAGCATCCCTGGTCAAATCGTATCCTAACTAGCTAATGACTTATTTACTTGTCTCTGGACCCTAAGGTCAAGTCGGAGATTTACCTTGACACGAGAATTTACTCGGATCCAAGTCAATACAGATTTTTAAAAATCAATAATTAAAAAAAAACAGCTATGTGGAGCTACATCTCTACAAGGGCCAAAAAAATTCCATCAAAATGTGCTATAAAAAGTTGATTAACGCCCAACTTTGGACTCAATGGTCAAAGGGGTTGTAATAGAGGATTGGTTTATACACCTACCTAAATAGAAGTGTGCCGATGGGTCCTGACCTTAAGCCTGTATTGGTTTCTGTACTGATGTTCTGTAATAGATCCATAATGTGTTTTCAACTGACATTAATATGACTATTGGAGAGACCAGCAAAGTAAAGTGTCCAGTCGCTTGGGTGACCGAATGGTTAGCGTGTGCGCGTTGTATCATAAGGTCTGTCATTGAGTCAACTGGCATGGTTTCGATTCCCCGGTTGTACGTGACAAGGAAAAAGGTCGCCTGTCTAACATTGTGGGTTTTCTCTGGGTCCTCCGGTTTCCTCCCACTGCAAAAGACCCCTACGCGCAAGTGGATTATTGAAATAAAATTGAACCCTATGTTAGTCCCGAAATGACCTAGTTTGTGTCCAGTGGACTTAAACCCCATTCCTCCTCCCTCTCTCTCTCTCTCTCTCTCTCTGGTTTGGATGGTACAAAAAACCTGAGGTCTCATGTATTCCATCAACAGCACATTACAGATCTTCTGACAATTAAAAGTAAAAGCAGACTCCCAGCGCCACTGTCTGGTTAAATTTTCCAGGCCACACCAAATGGCGAAATGAAATGAAATAGGGTTTAAAGTCCTTCTGTTCTGCTCCAATTGGACTAATGGAGACGGGTATACACCTTACAATGTGCTATGAGGGAAATTTTTACCCAACATAGCAGCACTATGGCCTACTCTTAGATCGAATTCCAACTGCCAAGGGATCTTTTACGTGCACGCCAATATATACACGGGACCTCGGTTTTTCGTCCCATACGAACAACTAGACAACTGTCATTGTCATGCCCTCCATCCAGCACCACTGACAAGAGGAAACCACATCGGAAAATCCCAATGAACTTTCTCGGCCAATGCAGGGATCACAAAATGACATATGCCTGACTTTATTATCCTGGTTGGTGCCATAAAGTAAGACGTTAAATTTCATTTGCACAATATTACACTTTCAAGACATGTATATTTCAGAGTTTCGTAAACAGTTAACTGAGTTTGAGCGTCTGGTGTCTCGTGTACCTGATCTTGTGATAAATGATCTAGAAAAATCTCAGATAAACACTGTTCAAGTTGATCGCAAAAATATAGATGATAATTATTCACCACTTTTACTAAAACTTCGACAACAACAGGTTAGTTTGTTTATTAAATTTACTATGAATTATTGTAATAAACCCTGGACTCACTCTATCTGTTAACACCTCGACAACAACAGGTTAGTTTATTTATTAAAGATACATTATGGGAGATTAGATAAAGAGCCGGTAGTTTGCACTATAACAGTTGAAAACTAGATACTGTAAAGGGAATTTGCTGAAAATTTCAGTCAAATTGATCGACTCTGAACTGAGATTTTAGCGATTGAATTTTTGACCTAGCCTTGATCATCATTACTTAAGTCAGTAGGATAAAAAAACATAGTCTCAATTATCCATTTCATGATTTAATTATGAATGGAAGTCGAACAGCAAATCGGAACCTAATCCAATAAACATCGCAGGCTAGCTATTCCATCGAGGGTTGATTATGGTTTGGATAAGTTAATTAATGTCTAATTAATAATTTAGATAATATTTCAGGCCTAAAGAAAAACCTGCAATAGGCAGATTTACATGTAGTTCTAGCATAATGTATGTTTAAATTTACTATGAATTATTGTAATAAACCCTGGACCAGTCTGTCAACACTTGTTCTAGTTACTTTACTAATGTATTCTTCAATCTTTAACGGATACAGACCAAAGCCGATAAGAATCCGTTACTAAAATAACTACACTTGTTCCTGAATGCAATAAAATCTAAATTGTTCATGCCATATAATGAAATTCTGTATGTAGGTTGATATATATCCATGGCTTCAGTCGAAAAAGCTTTTTTATATTTTTGAAAGTAGGGTTCATCATCCTTCATGTGATGGCTGATTTCATTGGCCAAAAATGCTTTACTAATGCTCACTACTTACCCATTAATGTTAGACAATCAAATCTATCATTGTGTTGGAAGCCAGTCTGGAATTCGCGCATTCGCTCCCATTTTTAGCCAAGAAAGTTCAACAGGTGTTTCCAGTGTGGTTTCCCCTTGCCAGTGGTGCAGGATGGAGGGCCTGACAAGAACAGCTATCCAGTCATTCAGATGGGACCAAAAAACTGAGATCCCGTTTACATGTTGATGTGCACATAAAAGATCCCTTGCCAGTTGGAATTTGAAATAAGAGTAGGCTGTAGTGCCACTGTCTGTACAAAATTTCATTATCCCAGTTTGAGTAGAACAGTAGGATGTTAAACCCCATTTCATTTCATTTAATGAACACCATGGACTCGACTATCTAACAATATGACAAATCAATGAGTATTTACGACTGAATTACAAATATTCACATTTTGACTCAATCTGATTAAAACACAGATCCTATTTCGTTTCGTTTTTTATAGTTCAAAATTTCGTTTAACTTGTCTTTACTACACTAGGATCTGGAAGAGTTGTTATATAACAGGCGTTTTTGTTGAAGTGAGGGATAAGCCAATGAAACGGTCTATTACATTGGCACAGAAATGTGGGTAAACCACTAGAAACGTCAACGCTGATTGACTAATCAATGTCTAACGTCATAGGATCAAAAGCCGTTCATAGACCCCTGACACAACCTTCCAGTACAACTGGTCAGATCTTCAAGTAGTGTAGGCCATCGAGATATAAAAAAAAATGAAATGAAATTTAGATCTGGATTTTAATCAGATTGCCTTTGACTTAGCCAACATAATTTCTCATTAGAAATATCTTTTTGTCCGTGAAGTGTCAAAAGGGTGTATCTAAGAATTTCTAAAGATTAAAGGAGCTAAGTCTCTAACTCAATATCATCCAAAATCTTCAACATTGAAAACACGATTTATTTGTCAAATTAAATCAACATTCATGTTGTGATCTTACCGGAAATAGATGGGCTTTTGATATCCAATATTTAAGACAAAATAAACATTTTACCATTGGTACACGAATCATGTACCATAATGCGCTTTAGCCCCAGTTGTATCAAGAGGGACGAGGCTAGACACATTGCACCAAATCAAACGGCGTATGTAGACTGGAATAACCAGACGCTAGAAATTTGCACTCGCTTGAGATTGACGGCTTATTTCGCCGAACATAACTGATTTGAAATTGGAGTAAAAACGGAAACCATTGAATGTAAATCAGTTTATATACATTCATATTACAGTATTATATGCATTGCGACCCACTTTTGTCAATTTCTAGGTCCCAAATGTTAGCGATTTAGCTCCTTTAAGAAATATAACCTTTTGCATTTCAAAATTTCCACAAATCAGGATACAACATTTGGACACATGATACCCAAAACAGTTCTAATTGGCTTAGAGATACACAGATTAGACAGAAATGTGCATATTAATTTCCCAAGATACACCCTTTTGACACTTCACCAACGTTTTCTCTCTTCTTTTATAGAATGAACATCAGAATTCACTACGTCCAACTCTCGGCCATCCACATCAAAAAGAAAGTTTAATGGCGCTTTGTGAGAAAGAAAATAAACGTCATGAAGAATATCTGGAACTAGTAGAAAAGCGTTCTCAAGAATTACAGGTAAACACCAAACGCCAGCACATAAGACACCTGTTACAGACTTTGTCATGTACAAATTATCAAACTACTTATAATTATATACCAGCCTGGACGGAAGACACAAATTCTCTGTGACTGCTGCTTTAAGTCCAGGATCAAACTTAAGATTCTCATTTAGACAGAAAATGTGGTCTGTTGTTGCAAGGGGGCTTGAATGGCCGAATGGTTAGCGCCTGGCGTGGTTTTGATTTCTCATTTGTACGTGACAAGGAGTAGGGTCGCCTGTCCAACCTCGTGGGTTTTCTCCGGGTCCTCCAGTTTCCTCCCACTGCTAAAGACCCCTACTCACAAGAGAATTATTGAAATAAAATTGAACCATATGTTAGTCCCGAAATGACCTAGTTAAACCCCTTCTCCCTCTTTCTCTTTCTCTGGTCAGATTTCTCAGTTTTATAAGCTTTTCTATATTTTTTTTCTGTGGTAGAATTGTGTTGTTGAACATAGTGAGAAGTTTATAGAAGTTTTATCTCGTACAACAGAGAATCAATTATTACAGCTAGATAATCAGATTGTTGTTGACGAAGTCAAAAAAGGACGTAAGTATTCTGGGTTTTTTATAGCGTTATTACTAAATTCTATTGATTCTCAGGTAAGAATAAATGATATTATTCAGGATTTTTTTTATAGCGTTATAACTAAATTGAATTGATTCTCGGGTACGAATAAATGGTGTTAATTATCCTTTATCTCAGACGCTTAAGTTGAACTGGTTTAAAAACCCTGGGTATCGTTAATAACATGCCAATTTCCTACACATGAACATTTCATATGGGCGGCTTATCTGACGGGCCCCATTTCACACGCAAAGAGATACACCGTCAAAAGTGAAAATGGATGTTTTTGATTTTTGTCTTAATAATGAGTAATTGCTCCACCAATCCACAGACATTCAGCAATTCTTCGTGGCGTGCTTCTAATCAACCGCCCAATCACGATTTGGGGCAATCTGACCCACTACTCTTGGGGTGTTGTGGGTTGGCCCCTAAAGCGAATTATTGAAATAAAATTGGCCCGGAAATGACCTAGTTTGCATCGAGTGGATGTTAAACCCCATTTTTTTCTCTCTCTCTCTCTCTCTCACACATGGGGCTTTAATGTTGTTTTCATTTCCTTCAAGGTGTTCCTCCATCGCGATATCCTACCAGTGAATTATTGAGACGTAAAGCTGCCGGAGAAAGCCTAGAAGATGGAGAAGAAATGGGGATGATTCCAAGAGGAAGGGGAACATGGCCTGGTCTTCCTATCAATGAGATGAAAGTAAATCTTTCTGAAGATGCCCAAGAGTTAACAGCTACTGTAACTACATTAAAAACTACACTGGCTCATCAAGCCGTTATCATGGCACGAGAACAAGCTTTTGAGGTAACTTTTCCTTTTTTTTTAAAGAAAGATTTTATTCACAAGGCAAAATGCCTATTTCAGACCCCTATCCCTAGGTAACTTAATTGGGGGATGCAAATTGTCGGCTGGTTGGGGAGGTTCGGGAATTTCCAGAGTCCCCAATGGCTGCTTTATATAAATGAGTCTTTTGAGGTATACTAAGCCTTTTTATGAGGCTGAACTTAGATCCAATATACCTTTTAACCCTCTAAAGATAGGTTGCCATCCAACATACGCCCACAGCAGCGAAATCGCCCACGCGGTCAACTAGGGTTGTCGCATATTTAATCTTTTGTAGGTAATGGGGGGGGGGGGGAGGGGGGCATTTAAATAATGCATATAAATTTCATACAGATCAGATGATAACTTTAATCAATCGAGTGTTCACAAGGTTCAACAAAGTGAAACAAGGGTTATTATAACTCTAGACGTAATTAACGGAAATGGCTGAAATTCAAAAAGCTTCTACATTTCACTAATTCAAATGATGCATATAAATTTCATACAGATAGGATGATAACTCTTGTCGTTAGAGCATTCATAGGGTTCAACAAGGTGAAACAAGGGCAATAACTTTGTACACAACCTATTATACTACTGATTCTTAGAAATTTCTTGAATTTAATAAAAAAAAATCAAAAAAAATCCATGAATGAAAATTTGGCTCAGGATGTTGCTGACTGATGTTCTCTAAGTTATTGCCCTTGATTTAGCAATGAAAGCACTTGAGTCGAATGCTGGTATTTGCCAATGAGAAAGTTGTGGAATTTTTTGCTCATTAAATTCATAAGAATGTGTATAGTGTTGTAGAATTAAGTTGGGCTGCAGCCTAAAGCCTATGATAGTTTGATGTCAGAAAACCACAAATTTTTATTAACATATCAGCATTTTTTGTGTAAAAAAATCCATGAAACACTCAAAATTATAAATCTATAGAAAAGAACACAAAATCATTATTTTGATTGCTCTATTTCAGAACTATAAGGCAGAATTCTATAACTCATTACAAGACATTCGCAAAGCAAAGGACCTGTTAATCAAGGCTGAAGAAAGATGGACAGACAGTTGGAAAAAATCTGTTCAGAAAGTTGAAGAATTGTATTAAATCACATTGCTGTTATTAATTTTAACAAGTTTCGCCATTTTCGAGATTTCACGTCATAAAATCAGCATTAATTTTGACTGTTTGGGCTGTTTTTAAATTGAAGACATACAAGACTCTGACTTTCAAGAATTGATACTATCCGTCCTTTGTATCATATCGAATTGATTAGTTATTGTATTTCTATTGCAGAACTTAAGCAAAATTTTAATAAGGGTCTTATTTGTAATATATTTCAGCATTAATCTTTTGTGATATTAACAGCATTACAAATTTATTTTGTCTGGGGAAGCGCGTAAAAAAATAAAATAGACCTCTAAGCTTATTGTCCAACATATTTCAATATACCGACAGGGAGAATGTATCCATTAACTGTGATATAAGTTTTAAATTGTTTATATAATATGTTTTATATATTTATCACTAAATTATTGTATTATTTGATTTTTTTTTTTTTTTTTATATCTATTTTATTCATATTTCATGAGAATCTTTGTATTAAAAACGTTTATCAGTTAGGCCAAGCTATTTTAATTCCTTGTTTTTCATGGTCTTGATAAATCTTTACTGACTTGAATCACGGGAAAGATATTTGGTTAAAATTCCAAAACTGAAAAATTTGGAACTGAAAAGGCTTTTAAACGGCACAACCAAGAAGTTTTGGTTTTTAAATAAATCTTTTTTCCCCCCGACGAAATCAACAGGTAAATTTTTACACAGGTGTTACATAGAACAGAAAATCATTTAGATGTGGCCTTATAATAACATCAGCATTTGTTAGACCTGGCATGGTAAATCAGCATTTGTTTAAGACATCAGCATTACCTCTGAATCATTGTCGTGGTAAAAGCCTAAGAACCAATTAAATCTATAACTAAATATCAAAGATGATAACTAGAATGATCTTAAATTTATTATTGGTTTGTAACAACTTGAAGCAAACAATTTTAACTTTAGGACAGTCTCTGATTTTACAGGGTGTGGCAAATATCCATGGATTGAATTATGTAAATCAATGCTTAAGTTATTGATCTTCACTTAATTAATATTTAAAATCAAAATATTGAGCCATTCAGAAATAAAGTTTATTATAAGTGTGACTTGATAATCAGGACAATCCCTTACCAGTTTTATAGACATGATTATCTTGGCCCTTATCTTTGCACGATATTGGGGAAGCGGAAACTGAAAGGTTGTCTTTCTTCTAAAAAGTATTACAGAGCTTGAGCTGATTGTACTTAAGACTCGGATAAAGGTTTTGCAAGAGTCTTTCTATCCAAATTAAGCACTTTTATTCACTAAAATATATCTGGAATGGCTTCTTTATGTTTCATACTAGGGTTGCAGCTGACAAAATTGTGTCAATTAGGAATATATTTATTTCAAACTCGTATAGTTTACAATGCAAAATAAAAAACACTACTAGTCTCTGAATTCTGAAAAGAAACATTTGATATGTTTTATTTTATTATATTGCAGACAAATTTCTGGAACACAGATAGTAACGTAATCTGCTATACACATTCAAACCAATATTGCTGTTTAAAAATGAATTTACCGGATGTGAAAATTTATAGTTAAAGATATGAAATATTGTTTATAAAATAAATCATTTACATAAGAAATAATATGTTGTTCTGCTTTCTTTGTTATTTGATTCCCTGGTTGTACATGACAAGGAGTAGGGTCGCCTGTCCAACCTCTTGGGTTTTCACCAGGACCTCCGATTTCCTCCAACTGCTGAAGACCCCTATGTGCAAGTGAATTATTGAAATAAAATTGAACCATGCTAGCCCCTCTCTCTCTCCCTCTCTCTCTCTCTCTCTGTAAAAAATCAAATGGAAGTATTTCTGGACTGATTTTTTAGAGATTCGAACTTGCACAATAATGTAATTTGCAAGGGATACTTCAGCCTCTCAAAGGACATTCAGCGACTTGAAGCACTAAAAATTGTAGAAAGGACGAAAGGTACAACTTCTGTACAATTCTGGTATATATCTAGCCTATAGGCCTAGTCAATATATATGAAGCAGTAATTTAAATCATTAATGTTACTGCCACACAGGGATTCACATTTCACACTTTCTCCGCATAATAAAGATAAGCTGCTAGTGAAAAATACCCCCACAGCATCTGAGACACGGAGTTGTTCAAGCAATCCATAAAGTTTGTTGCACAATCTGGTTAAAACACAGATCCTATTTCGTTTCGTTTTTTATAGTTCAAAATTTCGTTTTACTTGTACTACACTAGCTAGGATTTGAAAGAGTTGTTATATTACTGGCGTTTTGATTAAAGTGAGGAATTAGCCAATGAAACGGGTTGTTATGTCGAATTCTTGGCGTGCTCAGCTGCACGGAACTGTGGGTAAACCCCTAGAAACGTCTTCGCTGATTGATTAATCAATGTCTGGCGTCATAGGGTCAAAAGCCACTCGTGTGACCCCTGACACAACCTCCCAGTACAACTGGTCAGATCTTCATGTAGTGTAGGTCATCGAAAGTATGAAAAAAAACCGAACCAAATATTATAGATCTGTATGTTAATCAGATTGTTTTTTTGCATGAATATGTGTGTGAGTTAGTTGTATTTTACGTCCGCTTCCACCGAGGTGATATCGCAGACAAGTTGCATGAATCTTTTGGTAGGCTATATATAGGCCTAACCGTTTAAAGAGCAAAATCTTCATATTGTAAAATGTCTGTGGTGCATTGACAAGAAATTACTACATATGGCATTAACTCTGGAAGTAGGTCTATCTAGAATAATAATACGTCTTTTTAAATCGGATAAAAATTTTGACCTCTATAGGGTCCACAAGCTAAAAACGCGATTTTTCGTACAATATTCAGGGGCCATAATTCAGGAAGTTATGGTCCGATATGCGCGAATATCGAAAGGAACCGAGATCTTTGGTTTATAAACTTATATTTCAAGTTTCAACAAAATCGGATAAAAATTGTCACTTCTATAGGGTCCACAACCTTGATATACCATATTTTTACGCTATTTAAATTTGAGAACGAACGGCGGCCATTTTGTCTGTCAATTTTGGGCCGATGTTCACAAAATTCGAACTCAGCCGTCCTTAGGGTGTAACGGTGATATAATAATACGGTTTTTTAAATCGGATAAAAATTATGACCTCTATAGGGTCCACAAGCTAAAAACGCAATTTTTCGTACAATCAGGGGCCATAATTCAGGAAGTTACGGTCCGATATGCGCGAATATCGAGAGGAACCGAGATCTTTGGTTTAGGCTATATTTCAGGTTTCAACAAAATCGGATAGGCCTTAAAATTGTGACTTCTATATATTGTCCACAAGCTAAAAACGTGATTTTTCGTACAAACATGGGGGCCATAATCCATGAAGTTTCGATCCGATACATGCCAATATCGAAAACAGCCGAGATCATTTGGAGAAAAACCTATATTTCAAGTTTCGTCAAAATCGGATAAGAATTGTGACCTGTAGAGTGTCCACAAACAAATTGTGGACGGGCGGACGTCGGGACGGAGGGGCGACGACAATATACGTCCACATGAAAATGTGGGCGCATAAAAACAAATTGAAAGAATCTTTTATTCACATGAATTAGGGCAGATTGTACAACAAAGTTAACTGCAATAATTTCAAAACATTTAATTTTTTAAATGGATCCGGGCGCCCTCGGCCCCATCTACGCCACTGTCCAGGAGTGACTCGATTGACAAAGGGAAATAACTCCAATTCTTCAGTAATAAAGAAACAAGATGGAAGTTAAAGGTTAAAAGCAGACGAAGTTCGAACGTGTTCTACAGTCTCTGTGCCAGTTTGTGGTAATATAAAATGTAAGAACCCGTGAGAAACATATATTTATCTTCCATGATAACATTTCCATTGATCAAGTTTCCAGAAAATATTTAAATGGAGATAACAAAAAGTGTTCAACTTCAGACGACCTCTCGTCATGAATATGAAGATGAGATTATGATTATTATCTTTTATGTCGAATGAATCGTGGGGACATCGTTATGTCCGGTACTAGACCAGAAAGCAGAATTTAATCTGAATACTGCATGATTATAAACATATTCAATACAAGGTATGAAAAACCTCACGTTATCGTTGGTTATTTGACGTACCGGTACCGTATTGATACAGATACTGAAATAGGCTACACAACGGTGGATAGGCGACTGTAGACGAAATGAAATCAGCTGGGTCAGACTATGTTTCAGCTGGACTCTCATTGACAGTGGTGCAGGACGAAGGGCCTGTCAAGGTACAGTGTCTAGTCGTTTGGATGGGACGATAAAAAAAGGTCCTGTGTAGGCTACATGTTATGATGCTAAAAGTACTAAAAGAAAAGAAGCCTTGGCTTGACAGTTGGAATTCAAAATCAGAGTATTTTACCAGTAGAAACACCACTATCCAGGCAAAACTTTTCTCATAGCACAATGACAATGACATGGTGTATGCCCGTCTTCATTTGCCAGTTGGTGCAGAAATGAAGGATGTATATAAACCTCATTTCATTTCATTTTACATGAATTTAATTCTAAATAGATTAAGGTTCAAATCAAATCATTCCTTTATAAGTAACAATGTCAGGTAAACTGTGAGGTAAATCTGTCGATTAAATAACCTAGGCCTACACTACAGTAGGCCTATAAATAATGAAAGCTTAAATAAATCAACAAAATTGTGATCGTCAATTGAAAGACTTAAAAGATACATTATGGGAGATTCGATAACGAGTTGGTAGTTCTCACTATAATAGTTAAAAACTAGATAACGTAAAGGCAATTTGCTGAAAATTTCATTCAAATTGATCTACTATGAACCGAAAACTAAGCGAATGAAATTTCTGCCTAGCCTCGGTCATCATTACTAAAGTCAGTACGATAAACAGCATAGTCTCGATTATCCATTTAATCGTTTAATCGAGAAGGAAAGTTATGCAGTAAATCGGCTCACAATCCACTTAAAATCGCAGGCTAGCGATGCCATCTAGAGTTGATTATGGTCTGGATAAGTTAATTAATGTCTAATTAATAATTTAGATAACATTTCAGGCCTAAAGAAAGACCTGCAATAGACAGATTTACCTCTTGCATAATGTATGTTTAACTGAACACTTGTCTTGTTGAAGGTCAATGATTGGGATTTTTCATAATAAATGAGATGGTTTTCAATAAGATGATGTACAGGTCACAATTCTATGGAATACAATTTCTGCTTATTATTACTTAGTCATTATCAAGCAATGATAAGATGTGAAAATATAACAAGGCAATATATACAAGTTCACTTCACAACAATACTTGGTTAATGCTGACCAACATAATATAACATAAGATTAATTTGATTAAATTGGTAATTGTTTTCTTGATGAAAGTAATAAGGTCTGTTTAAACATAATGGGGAAGTTGGATGGCTGAATGGTTAGCGTGCGCGCGCTGTATCATACAGTCTGTCATTGAGTCGACTGGCGTGGTTTCGAATCCCCGGTTGTTTGTGGCAAGGAGTAGGGTTGCCTGTCCAACCTCGTGGGTTTTCTCCGGGTCCTCCGGTTTCCTCCCACTGCTAAAGACCCCTACGCGCAAGCGAATTATATAAATAAAATTAAACCATATGTTAGTCCCGAAATGACCTAGTTTGTGTCGAGTGGACGTTAAACCCCATTTCTCTCTCTCTCTCTTAAACATAATGTTACTATTTTGTAGGAATATATCAATGGATGTTATGGAAGAAGGATGTGGGAGATATTTCCATAATTATGGTAGATGTGTTGAAAAATTCCCACAAACATGGCAAATAGACTGTCTTCAACAAAAATTGAAACTTAATAAATGTGCTGACTCTAAGTAAGAGAAATTGATTAGAAGATATAGATTTTGATACCAGGACCCGTAGTATGGTTTATCCCCTTTTTTAAATTTCATTAAAGATACATTATGTAAGATTTAGATAAAGAACTAGCCATTCTTGCTATAATAATGTAGTTCGAAAGTAGATGATGTAAAAAATGAATAATTTGAAAATTTCATTCAAATTACTCTATTGCAAGCGAAGATATTAGCCTTTGAAGGTTTGACAGACGTGTGCAATAATTTCAACCACTGTACTGGTTGATCGAAGCTAAGTCTCGGTCCTCCATATTTGATTAAATCAAAGTATCGCTGAACCATTCTAATCTATTTAATATCAGAGAAAATCTGAAGCCATCGAGAGTTGATTAAGGCCTGAATCAGTTAATTAATGTCTAATTAATACTTTATATAACATTTTAGGCCTAAAGAAAGACCTGCCATAGGCAGATTTACCTCTTGCATAATGTATGTTTAATTAAAGATATATTATAGGAGATTAAATAAAGAGCTGGCAGTTCCCACTATAATAGTTCAAAACTAGATAATGTAGAGGGAATTTGCTTAAAATTTCAGTCAAATTGATCCACTCTGAACCGAGAATTTAGTGATTGAATTTTGGGCCTAGCCTTGATCATCATTACTATAGTCTCGATCATCCATTTTTTTATTTTATTCATGAATGAGCGTTGAGCAGCAGATCGGATCCAAATCCAGTAAATATCACAGGCTAGTGATGACATCATGGTCTGGATAGGTTTATTAGGTTAATTAATGTCTAATTAATAATTTAGATAACATTTCAGGCCTAAAGAAAGAAAGACCTGCAATAGGCAGATTTTGCCCTTGCATAATGTATGTTTAATGATTTGTACCATTTATTCATGGCATAGATCAATAGGGATGCAAATTTTAAAAATTAAGTCACTGAAGTGGATCCTATATCCATTCATGTCTACATTTTTACTTGGGTTTGCTGTGGGTCCACTAAGGTGGGTTTGGGTGGGCTAATGGTATAATGTGTGTGTGCAGGTTAGATCTTAAGGTCTGTAATTGGGTCAAGTGGCCCTGTTTCAATCCCACTCTTATATGTGTCAATGAGTAGGGTGCCTGTTGAACTTGTTTCTCCATGTTCTAAACCCTCTATCTTTCTCTCTCTCTCTCTCTCTCTTTCTTTCTCTCTCCCCCATTAAACTGCCATTTCTCTCTCTCCCCCAATTGGCCATTCATATGTAATGTTTTTCATTAGACTTTGGTCTTAATGGATATATCAGTCATTGTTTTTTAAGGGGAGCGATCACTACTTCATTAGTGCCTGACATTTTGTCAGGTACATGTAAAACCGTTATTTCCAGGCCTGCATATCTGTGTATTCATCATTTCTATTTTTTATTTTGTTGGGTTTATTTCAGTCCATTAGTTGTAGAAGTTAAGAGGAAATGTGCTAATGAGTTTCAACATTATGATAAATGTGCACATAGAAACCAAGATAATTTAGACAAATGTATAGAACAGTTTCATGCCTTTGATATCTGTGCTGAGAAGATAGCCAAGAAAATAAGTAAATGATTTATTATGTTGAATTCTTTTTTTTTTTAATATAAAAACCTGTTGCATAATCTGTAACAAACTGGTATTTTTGACTGAAAAATAATGGCATTTTTGACTGAAACATATTGGGTTTTTTTTTTTGACTGAAACATATTGGTTTTTTTGGACTGAAACATATTGGTATTTTGGACTGAAACATAGTGGTATTTTTTGTACTGAAACATATAGGTATTTTGTACTGAAACATATAGGTATTTTTGACTGAAACATATTGGTATTTTTGACTGAAACATAGTGGTATTTTTGACTGAAACATAGTGGTATTTTTGACTGAAACATATGGTGCGACTGAACCATAATGGTGTTTCTGACTGAAACATAATGGTATTTTGGACTGAAACATATTGGTATTTTGGACTGAAACATATTGGTAATTTTGACTGAAATATATTGGTGTTTTTGAATGCAACATAATGATATTATTGACTGAAACATAGTGGTGTTTTAAACTGAAACATAGTGGTGTTTTAGACTGATAACTTGGTGTTTTAGACTAAAACATAGTGGTGTTTTAGACTAAAACATAGTGGTGTTTTAGACTAAAACATAGTGGTGTTTTAGACTAAAACATACTGGTGTTGATAACTTGGTGTTTTATATTGATAACTTGGTGTTTTAGACTGAAACATAGTGGTGTTTTAGACTGAAACATAATGTTTGTTTTTTTCATTGAAACATGTTGCTATTCTTGAATGAAACATGTTGTTGTTTTGACTTAAAATTTTAACAGCAGGAAATTGTTATAATAATGTTTAATTTTCTTATGAGAAAGTCATCAGTTATCAAATAAAACAGATTCTTCAATATTATCGTAAATTATTAATCAACTTACCCAAATATTTAGAAACAAATGTAGTAAATATATCACTGACCTTTTGGCAAATTTATAAAAGAAAGTTGTAAGAGAAATGGATATTATGTGATATTAATTTTTCTAAAAATTCAAAATTCATCTCTTTTAAGGAAGCAAACAGTCTTCAACATCCACAATAAACATATTATGTGATATTAATTTTAAAAAAATTCAAAATTCTTCTCTTTTCAGGAAGCAAACAGTCTTCTACATCCACGATAAACAGTAAAGGTGTTTCTTGATAGTAATAAATCGTTAGATAAAATAAAGAGTATTAAATATTCAGTATAAAACATACAGAGTGAAAGGGAACATTTTTATTTTGTCAATCTACTAACAATCTGATTAAAACACAGATCCTATTCGTTTCGTTTTTATAGTTCAAAATTTCGTTTTACTTGTCTTTACTACACTAGGATCTGGAAGAGTTGTTATATGATGTGAGGAATTAGTCAATGAAATGGTCTGTTATGGCGAGTTTTTTGACGTGAGATACACAGAACTGTGGGTCACCGACTAGAAACATAAACGCTGATTGGTTAATCAAATGTCTGACGACATAGGGTCAAAAGCCACCGTTATGACCTCTTACGCGACCTTCCACTACAACCGGTCAGATCTTCATGTAGTTTAGGCCATCGAAAGTATAAAAAAACACGAAATGAAATATAGATCTGTAGTTTAATCAGATTGATCTGCTAAGGGATACAGTCAAGTTTACAAGGAATATTTGCAGCCATAAAACCAATATAATGATGTTCTAATTGTTTCGTGGATTAGAAATAAAAAATATCAAGATATAGATGTTTGGTTAACCAGGAAAAAAACAAAACTTATTTATAAATGTGATTGTTTTCTTGTCAACTTGTTTGTGATATATTTTATAAATATATTTATAATTTTTGAAAAAAGGTTGTATATATGTATCTTTTTGTTTTTATTGAAAATTGTGCACAGGTAAAATTGTGCACAGGTGACCCTATACAAAATGTTGGATATTGGTAGCTAGCTCTACAGCAGACAAATACCAACACAAAAAAAAAAAATAGACACACATTTCGGAATTAATATCTAAACGAATTTAGTCAAAAAGAAACTATCCGGTTTCCTCCCCCACTGCTAAAGACCCTTACGTGCAAGCGAATTATTGAAATAAAATTGAACCCTGTGTTAGTCCCGAAATGACCTAGTTTAGTGGATGTTAAACCCCATCTCTCTCTCCAAAAAAAAAACTAAGCTTATTATCATTAAAGTGTAGGAATCCTACAAATTTGTTTACACTAGCACTATAAAATACAGAAAAGTTGTATAAACTTTGCTATATATGTTATTTTACATGACTGAATGACCAAAATAGAACTACGTTTTTCTGTTCGAGTCATTTATTTCAGCGTTAGTTTATGTAGTCAGGACTTATTCCATAAATACATCATTGATGATTTGTGAGGGTTGCCTATATCGAATTTATTTAGGAAAAGTCATGCCTTTCAATGTATATGTTAGGTGCAAGCTGGTGCGCAGATTGCCAACTTTGCGCTGATTACCCCTGGATGTTTTTAGAGATGCTCACATGCAAGATTTCTAATATATGCGTGAATCTAGTCTCGCGATGATAGTCTATTTGAGTATTAGGGCTACATTATGGCATTTTGTCAAAATGACAAATTAACCCACCTGTTCCTTTAAGACGGTGGTGTTATGTGATTGCAAGGATTCCCATTTTGCGTTCTTTTAATTGGAGTTGTCTCCCTTCATTTGATTACCAACCACAGATTTGTTCTTTATTCCAATGTTTTTTTATTTGTTATTTTAACTCAAAAGTTTGTGCTTGTTGCAGAATTAGGACATAACTATTTGATTACAGACAAAACACATTTATGCTCAAAACAGCATTTGGTGGATGTCCCTGTAAGCTATATCCTGTGCAGACATCATTTAATTTTTGGCATTTTGCAGTCTGGATTGTATATCTATGGTCAGGCATAGAAAGCAATTGGCTATTAGGCCAAATGACTCTAAGATGATGGACACTGATGTCAAGAATAATTGATAAAATATTTGCTCTGATCAAATTCTGTTTAATCAGTCACCATGTTTACCTTCTCCTAGCATTAAACCCCATTTTATTTCATTTACCTCTCAGCATTAAACTCTATTTTGGGGGGTTGGATGGCCGAATGGTTAGCACATGTGCGCTGTATCATAAGGTCCGTCATTGAGTCAAATGGCGTAGTTGTACGTCACAAGGAGTAGGGTTGCCTGTCCAACCTTGTGGGTTTTCTCTGGGTCCTCCCACTGCTAAAGACCCCTATGTGCAAGCAAATTATTGAAATAAATTAAACTATGTGTTAGTCCCAAAATGATCTAGTTGTGTCGAGTGGACGTTAAACCCCATTTTTCTCTCTCTCTCTAAAGTTTAGAGTCTAAACTCCATTTTATTTAATTATTTCTCCCATTCCCACCAGTAAACCTAATTTTATTTCATTTCCTTTCTCCCACCATTAAAGCCCAGTTTATTTCATCTACCCTCCCCCAGCATTTTATTTCATTTACCTTTTCAAAGTAAATATTATAGGCATTTTGTAATGAGATCATTATAGTAATGACAGTGATGGTTTCAAATACAAAAAGATGGTTTGAAAAAGAATTCATATGAACGAATTTTGAAAATATATACTTGTATTTTAATGATTGTAATTACATATATAATCAACAGTTAGAATACAAACATCATATTCTTGTATTATATTTAATCATTGACCTATTACTTACAATTTTTGTACATTTGAAAGCAGGCCTTTTAATCATTTACTCTTTGCTTGTTTATATGTATTTTTGAAATCCTAATTTTCACAATCTGATTAAAATACAGATCTATATTTCGTTTCGTTTTTTTATACTTTCAATGCCCTCTACTACACGAAGATCTGAACAATTGTAGTGGAAGGTTGCATCAGGGGTTATATGAGTGGTTTTTGACCCTATGACATCAGACATTTGATTAACCAATCAGTGTTGATGTTTCTAGCGGGTTACCCACAGTTCTGTGCACCTCACGCCAAAATCTCACCCTAACAGACCATTTTATTGGCTAATCCCTCACATCATCCAGGATGCGGGTTATATAACAACTCTTCCAAATCGTAGTGTAGTAAAGACACAGAGCAGTCAGAATGACTGAATGTTCAGCGCTATAGAAAAAAATTATTTTTATTATTATTATTATTAAAACGAAATTTTGAGGAATAAAAAACAAAAGTAAATTGGATCTGTGTTTTAATCAGATTGTAATTTTCATGATGTTCTATTGACTCTTTCAAAGGCTGCAGAGACCACACCAATTTCAAGTTTGGGCTTTAAAATTTGGCTTCTTATTTCTACAGGAAAAAAAACCTAATTTGAAAACAAAATGTACTTGATTGATTTTCTCAAAGAGCTTTTTGTTCCAAATTCCAATGTGAGCACTGGTTGTTGCACTTGAAGAACATTGGCCATAAAATTGAATGGAATTATTCTTTTAATTTCTGATTTAAAACTTTGGAATATCAAGTTGTTATTTCTCGAATTAAGAAACTTTTTTGTTCCAGATTCCCATGTGAGCACTGGTTGTTGCATTTGAAGTACATTGGCCATAAAATTGAATGGAATTATTCTCTTAATTTCTGACTTAAAACTTTGGAATATCAGTTATTATTTCTCGAATTAATAAACTATTATCAAAGCATTAAAGATACATTATGGGAGATTAGATAAAGAGCTGCTAGTTCTCACTATAATAGTTAAAGCTAGATAATGTAAAGGGTATTTGCTAAAAATTTCAGTCAAATTGATCCACTCTGAACCGAGAATTTAGCGATTGAATTTTAGGTCTAGCCTCGATCATCATTACTAAAGTCATTACTAAAGTCGGTACGATAAAAAACATAGTCTTGATTATCCATTTTTTTAAAATTTAATCATCGATGAGCGTTGAGCAGCAGATCGTGTTGCAATCCAGTAAATATCGCAGGCTAGCAATGACATCGAGAGTTGATTATGGTCTGGATAAGTTAATTAATGTTTAATTAATAATTTAGATAACATTTAA